TTTGATGACGGATAATTAATAATACATCATTTACAATACCTATGATGAAATATGACATTCTGCATAATATTTGTAAAAGGTAGAAAGTGTTGTGCTGAATAAGGTTTTAAGGAATTCCAAGACCTATTCAGATTGTTTGTCACACTTTCGTGTCTCCAAACGAGAACAAGCAGTGCACTGTATATACACTATTAATTGCAATTTAGTATCGAAAAAAGCAATGATTCAGTTTGTAAAAGGTAGAAGTTGTTGTGCTGAATATTTGTGTGGGAAAATTTGAACTTGTAAAATGTGTAATGGACTATCTCAAGTTTATATTTTCCTAAATGTAGACAATGCAATTTTCAATTGGAACTCCTTTAATGGCCAAAACATTTGCCATTTTTCCTTTAAAGTTCCGTACAAAATATATCCTAGAATACATTACCTTTTTGCAAAGCTCAAAATATAGGGTTATGCGGCATGATTTCAACATGTATATTGCATCGAACGTTTAGCAATTTTAATCTATACTAAACTTATGTACTACCCCCTCCCTTTACTTTGAGTCTTCCTGATAATTAATTGTTCCCACTCTACAACTGTCTTTTAGTGGTAAAATTCAGAAAATGTGTCTCCAATATCAATTTTAACGAGATTACTTCATTCCCAGGAAACTTAAAAAAACCTGTGAATTTTCTTCTTCAGCGCTCTGAACTGTATATCTCACATTCATATTCCGATGATTTCATCTAACAGAATCGCTATGTGATAAACAATGATAAATCTAGCAAGATCGACAGTATGCCCATAAAATGTAAAGGTTGTTCTATTGTGACTCCGCTTGTTATGACATTTTTTTTCTTTTGAAAGAAAAATCTTTCGATAGTACTGAAAAGCATTTAGTCAGTCACTATCGGTAATCCTGAATATTGGGACTACGGGTCGTGTTTCTATCATTGCTTTCAATACTTTATCAATGTTTAGATTTCTGCATTTGAAACGGTAATATTGACACATATTATGGGTCCTCAATGCTCTTCAACTTTATACTTTATACTTGTTTGGCTTTCTAACTTTTTTAGTCTTATGTAGATGAAACGCGCGTCTCGCGTATCGAATTATTAACCTGGTACCTTTGATTATTATTACGTAAGAGCATTAATGTACATCATCTTTGTTTTTTCAAAACCGTAGAACTACTCAAAATGACGTATAGCCTATAATTTGATTGATTGATCAATAGATTACTGTAGCTGCAACAATGACATTACCTGACTGCAATTCCCATTTTGAGAAAAGCCTTCAACAAATGAACGCCACGTCAATTGATGTATGGGGACATACATATTTATTTTTGAGTCTGATAGATTTTTAATATTAAATTTAAAATAGATTTTAATATTAATTATATTCAGAATCATGAAGTTGTGAGAATGTTCTTTAGACAACTGTCTTGAAATTGAGACAAGATCGTAACGAAAACAAGTGGGATTTAAATGCATGGAAAGAAAACAACCCTTCATTACAATATAATTTTGACGCAATATTGATTATGGAATATCATGTTTTAGAATAGAAACGTTCCTTTTTTTGTCCCATTCTTTTTCTAGTTAAGGATGTATTCCTCTGCGGTTTCAGTCTCGTTGAAATCTTGTCAGAAAATATTTTCCAAAACATGTGATACAAGTTGAAAATATCAATGAATATAAAAAAATATCGTAATCAAACTAAACACTGTGAAATAATTATGTACTTAAAATAAGTAGTTTTTGAGTATAACAATTTGCAAATTGTTATAACCAATCTGGTAAGTGCCAGACAAAATGTTGAGAAAATAGGTGAGGGTACAAAGTTTTTTCTTTTCAAAATTCTTAGATATGTAATTTTCAATTATTTATATGCCTTTTGTATTAAGAAAGAGAAAATCCCAAATTGACAAAATTGACAGCATGGTCAATTTGACACGAAAAAGCTACAAAATGTTATAAAACTTTCTAATATCAACCCAAGTTTTATTTAAGTTCAATTTAATCAGATATGTCCACGTTATCTTTAGTGAACGTATGAAAAAGGTTTAATTTCGAAATTGTAAATCATTTCATGATAATAGCCAAAACAGTGTAAAAGTTCATAAAAAAATGGGGACATCATAAAAAGTGGGTACTTTCAAATGGCCGTAGCAAAACAAGAAGTGCATCACCTGTTATTTTTCTTTATCAGTTACTTTTTTACAATCATATACCGTAAATTGGGTTATTTTGGATGTAGTTTTATTTTGGTTTAATTGGTGCTTTCAATGAAAGTGCCAAAATTAAAAACACGAAAAGAAAGCAAACACGAAATATTGAAACGCCAAAATTGCGTAATGGTACGACAATATCGTAATGTTAATTGTTGAGGAAAATATTTTATGTTATTATAAAAATTCCATATATTTCCTACAATTTTATACATAGCCAAATCTGCAAATAAAAAGTATACCTGTTATAATTTGAAAACACTATATAGTTTTTACTTAATTGTCAATTTTCTGAAATTGAAAACACAACATCAATTTTTATTCACACATGTCATAAATTTGACAGGCTTTTGCTGATTAGACGCCGTTATTGGTAATTAGAATATCTAAACTCCTTGTTATCCTTTATCTTTAATTCATTTACATGTACTGCCAGAGGCATAAGGATTAAAATTTAAATCCTTGATGATCAATAGATAAACATGTACTGCAATATACATGATTTAAATTTATTTCATATTATAGTTGTAAAAAAACCATAATCTATTTAAAACACGATTTTAATGTTTATATATAACACATGTATAAGATTTTATTTCATATTTTCTTTCAGCTTTGAACCACGATATACAGATTTTATTTGCAATTGCATCCGTATCCAATTCCTTCATTAAATTAACTTTGTCATGTTTCTAGTTTGAGAAATGCAATGATATTTTGTCAATAAACGGATAAATAGAGGCAAATATGAATGAACTTGCTCACTACTGTTGTTCCAACATTAAACACATCAATTGGACGAAGCACCAAAATTACACACACCAAAATAAAACACATACCTTTCGATAGAAAACCGCCAAAACATCCCGACGCCAAAATTTCCCAATTTACGGTAGTAGTTACTACTGTAATCACTAGCCAGTCAACACTGAGGTTGTAAGTTCGAACCCCGCTCGTGTGGTGTACTCGACTTCAATCTTAATTTACTAGGATTGTCAGTTTTCCTATCGAAGGTCGGTTGTTTTCTCCGGGCACTCCGGCTTCCTCCACCAATAAAAACTGGCCGCCACGAAATAGTCCAAAAGCGGTGCTTAAAGGTGGCGTCAAAACACCAAAAACCTAAAAACCAAAACAATAATAAACACCCCACAAAATGTTAAGAAAATACGTTTTTGTTCTTGAAATTTTTGAGTCCTGAGAGGTGAACATCCTTTATACATTTGAAAAAAAGTAATTGTTTATTTAAAATTTTGATGTAGCTTAAATATATTGACAGTTTGAATTTTTTTTAACCTGAGTAAATTTTGTTTTACATCATATCTATTTTAATTAACTAAATGTAAATGTGATCAAAATAAGCACCACATTTCAAATATGCATTAATTGACAATTTCTCATTCCAACGTTTAATCAAGTAGACAGCTTACTCTTTTTTTTATAATATTATTGATTATAAATGTGTTATCAAGTCATTGTCGATGGTTTGTGTAGGTGCATTCTGACGCGGTTTTATAAATATCTAAAAATATATTCATCTTATTTAAAAACTTCATGACTGCTTTCTTCTAGTTTAAAAAATATTGCATCATTTATGTGGATATGCACTTTGAAATAATTCGACAATATTAAGGAATTGAGTAAACACCACCATTGACTAACAAAGTCAAGTCAGACAACATCTGCTATTGAATAGTATATTTGGTAAGGACATTTACAGTTTTTAATATGAATCTGTGTTTTTATAGATAGGAACAAATTCACATTAAAAAATAATGATATTATTATAAAATAAGTATTAAATATAAAAAAAGAAGACGTGGTAGGATTGCCAATGAGACAACTCTCCACAAGAGACCAAATGACACAGAAATTAACAATTATAGGTCACCAAAACTAGTTTCTTCGTTGAAATGAATATATAAACCGAGATAGAATCCCATTGTTTCTTCGTTACATCAAGTCATGATACTAATCTACTAGTGTCGTGATATTTTTTTTGTGAAGTAATTACAATGAACTACTATGCATTGTGGCCTACTACAAGTTTACTATCAAATAAGAATTATTTAAAAAGTGTCTATTTGTAATGTATCTCGGAATCTCTGATTTATTATTTTTGCTCATATAACGTTATATATAGAATCCATCCACTGCAACAAGTGTATTACGTTATTTCTCCACTCGAGACAGTCAAATTTTAATATTGAAATGGCGAGGCTTGCCGAGCTTTTTGAATAATTAAAATTTAACTGCTGAGAGTGGAGAAATATGGTTAAACACGAGTTATAGTGGTGGGATCTGTTTCACTAATGATATTTATCCTTCTTTTTCATAAATTTGCAGAAAGTTGTGTTTTTTATATGTGACGTCATCAGGCATGGTCGCCTTTTTTCAGGACGTCACAATAATAAATTCAGAAGAAATCCAAAAAAATTAAAGTCATAATTAAATTTCGACTTTTCATTTGCTGAGAAATAAATGTTAAAAACATAATCTTCAACTAGAAAGCTCAGATTTAAAAAAAAGCCGTTGCTTATCGTACCGTCTTCGGCACTTGATATTTTTTTGTCATCTTGTCAAAGTAGTAAAGAACAGGTTTATATTAATAAGCTGCAATATATGTTAAATGAAAAGTAGTGAGCGCAAAATACCTCAATTCCAAACTGCTAAACTGTCAAAATCAGAAGTTATTTTAAGGCTCTAATTTGAAACAGACTATATTTTCTGAAAATGTTATCAAGACGAAGTCAATCAATACACTCCAGATATGGTACATATGTATACAAATGTGAAAGTAAACCAAAATGGTCTTCTTGTTGACAAGAAGGATCTAGGATAATTCAAACATTATAAAAGGATGAATATGTATTTGATAGGATGCACTTATAACATCTGAATAAGATAATGTATGTTATAACTATGACATAACAGTTCGCGTAATAAGCAACTGTGGATAGTGAAAGTAAGTATCACGTATTTTCGCAGAATAATATATGCCAGGAAATAAGAATGAAATGAATGAATAAAGTTTAGTACTAACATAATAACTTTTAACCATCGTAACAGAACACAGCAATAAACAAAATATAGGTTTATTATCATTTAATACACATACAGTCTGTTCAAAAAAAGAAAAGATATATACTTGTAATTGACGTCTATGGAAACGTTGTGGTTTTGTGATATTTAGAAAGGTCATTTGCCACCAGTTTTCGACATTTCAATGCAAGTAGACCTAATTATCTTTTAAATGTTTGTGTCGATTGGTTGCTGTTATTGTTCATGTTGGCATATAACTTATGCTTTATCTCATGGTCTGTAAATGCTGTCAAACAGTTCGAAGAAAAAACATGAGAACATTTTCCAGCCATCGGTGAAAAAATTATTTGCATGTCAGTAAAACAAGTGTTCTTGGTAAATAGTAAGCACGTACATGTAGTACTCCATCATGCATTAAATTCATTAATTGGATTGGTCAAGTACCCAGGTGAAAACAAACATAATTTAATGTAAACAAACAAATGTATTTGCGGGAATATGATTATGCTAAGTTAGGCATAGCCGTATAAGGCAGTGTACCCGACCTGTTCAAGAAACCATTAACATTTTCAAATGAATACAAATTAAGTTTATCATGATGCTATCTGATAACACGCGTCCTTTCATCTGAATGTGAACGTTTTCCATGTGATTTTTTTTAAGCAAAATCAAAATTCTATCAGCATTTGTTTTCATAATTCAATGATTTAACAGTTTGTGTGTCAAATATACTTTTATTAACCTCTATTACTTGATCATCTTAGTTATCACTCATATTTTGTTCATACATACTGTCAGTAACAAAAAAGTGTATGTTGGTTTAATCCATTTGTCTCAATGGGATATTTGGTAACACTGTACATAAATAAAATATTGAATACAACTGAAGGTCTTTCCGCCCGAAACGATATATTGTGATAGGAAAATACTAAAATCCGGTTGAAGTTATTATTTCCAGTGTCAGATGATAGCTTATAGTACGGTAAAAATGTATGGATTCTATACACTTTTGTTTGAATTAACAGAAATAAATTTTTACTCACGGTTTGAAAAATGGTAATTCTATTATGATGTGATAGACTACTTGACACTGATTCCAAAAATATATGATTAAGTTATTTTTTCATTAAGTAATTCCAAAAAAACAACTACTGCCGATTTACTCAAGGTCACTCCCTTTGGATTTTTCAAGGTCATACGGCTTGCAACATTATAAAAAAAGTCCCATGATTTTATGATGTATAAATATGAATGTAAGGCAAAGTTCAAAATCTTCGTCAAATTTATCTATGACCTTGACCTCAATTTCTAGGTCATCAAGCAAGATCTCTTTTCAAAGGACCTTAGGTCTCTACTATGTACTGTTAAAAAATCTAAGCGACATCTTTTGAAACACCAATACAGCGCAAGAAAAAAATAGGCAGAAGAAAGAAAAAAAATAATAATGACATGAATAAAAGCAAACGGTTTTTCCACGGAGAAGGGGAAAGGCCTGATAAAATAAAATAAAAACCAGAGAAGAATTGAAGGCCTTTACTAAAAAAAACATGTATTTTGATTTGAAAATAAAAAAATCGAGATTAAAATGTAATTTCTAATGTCGGATGATATCTAACCGTGCGCTGATTACTTCAGGTTTGAAAAATTGCGACTTCCGCTATAATAAGATTTTTTTGACACTGATTGCAAAACTGTATGGTTCCATATACTTTAACATAAGAGAAATAAAAAAAAAGCTACTTCTTGTTAACACAGTATCACTTCTGGTTGGCTTTTTCAGGGTCATATGGCTTGTAACCTAATGAAAGAAGTCCCATTGCTTTATCATGTAATCATATGAAGTTAAAGCCAAGGTTAAAATCTAGAATGACACATTTACTTATAACCTTGACCTAAATATCAAGGTCATAAAGTAAGGACCACCAATCAAAAGACCATATATACGGTTAATAAATTATATCATCATACACCTAGTTTCAAATATGAGAGGGATACAAACTCCAATTTCATGTCAACGTACCCGCGCACCGTTCAACCAAAATTTATGTGATACGACATGTCGCATAAAACAATTTAGTAATGAGTCATTTTATTTTGACATTACTCATTACTGTTGTTCCATGCAAAGAAATACAAATACTGAGGTGAAAAAGATGGACAATCTCGCAATTGTCGTGTATACATCTTTCTTTGCGAACGTATCGTACCGTAAATTATGCACAGTTTAACGAGAAATTAAATAGGTTCGAGGTAAGTTTCACTCTTTTAATCAATTTACCGTGCGATTTTATTCTATTCATTTCTCTATTCATCTAGAACGAATGTACGAAAAATATTACATCTCACAATCAAAAAAATAGTTATAAATAGTAATAATAATGTTCATATTTTAAAATTTCATATAAATCACAAATAAAGACACAGAAATCCTACCTTGTCACTGTCTGTAGGTGTTTCCTTTCGTACTGAATATTAGATACTATCGAGTCCTGGCATTTTTTTACCGGGGTTTTATTTTTCCTTTATATGTTTCAGAGTTTAGTGTGATGTCTATTTCGCGGAACTAGTATATATATTAACATGATATATGGTTATTTATATCGTAGACAATACTATAATGTTATCTTCGCAACTTACTTGTATTTGTTTATTGTAGGTCTACATCAGATATGAATCCATCTGTATTTTCTTTTTATTTTCCCCTGCTGATGTTTATACTGCAATTGGCATGTAAGTTCAGAACTTTTTTTCTGATACGGTCAATTCAGAAATTATTTCGAGGTATTTATTAATGCGAACATTGAGATTGGGTGAGTATCGCACTAATATGAAATCACATTTTGAAAACTCACATATACATTTGTATGCAGATTTGCCTGAAATCATAATAATTATTTTGTCCATTGTTCAAACAAGTATAATACACGAACTCATTTATTTCTGCATTTGCAGCACAGATACTCAGAAATCATGCTGGATAATAATGGTTGCTAATATTATAACATCAGAAAGAAGCATATTGCTTATTATGCCAGTAGGTCCGCATTACGGTCACTATAATTTCAATTTATTTTAGTAAAAACAGTTAAGTCAGTCTGGTTAATTAGGTAAGGAATTTTTTTTTTGGGAGGGGGATTTTAAATGGAAAACAAATGACTTCCATCCGTAGTCGGAATGAGATAAATCTACATAAGATCAAATATCAAATATTATCAGAAAATTACATGATCATCATCAACGTAAATTATACATGAAAACTGTAATTTTTATGCAGTGTGTATGATTACTAGGTAGTTGACATGCATACAACAAGCTAACAAAATGTAAGATAAGTACAATTTCTTTTCAGTAGAAACATAGCTTTGGTTAACACATTATTGATTACATAAACCCTGATCAGCCAGTACAAGGTTTTGTTGCTAGGCATGCATCAATCTGATGGTTAAGTAGCTGATAAATACTCTTTAAAATAGTATAAAAAGATTTCACGTTATTGTTTGAGATTTTCATACATGTATTACACAATGCTACATTTTGATTCATTTGCATTTCTGATAAAAAAGATTTATAATAGCATATTAATGGCAGATTAAAAATATGTTGCTATGTAACCAAAAATCATAATAACAAACAGCAAACAAAAATCATAATAACATACAAATGTGTTATTTGTTAAAAAAACTTGTGTACCTTTTCTAATGAAGTTATAAAATTCAATTCATTTGAATTGGTCATAAATGTACCTTGTACTTTGATGCATTTAAGTTTTGTATAATGCATGACGTATGCAAAAACATCCTCAGCTTGGAAAAAAGATGTCAGATTACTAACGTCTATTTGTCTTTTTCTTTTTTAGCCATGGCGTTGTCAGTTTATTTTCGATCTATGAGTTTGACTGCCCCTCTAATATATCTTTCGCCCCTCTTTACTAAGTATTAATAAAATTCGTTTTTATATGTTATTTATTGTTATTATATATTCTACTTTCTAGATGGTAGGAGCACCCTTAGCTTATTTGTATACAGTTCGATACTACTTGTAGGTTCATTAAGATGGGAAGTAGAACACAAAGTGTCTGACTATGGACAAAACTTAATATTGTTGTGCAGAGTGTCTAACTGTTGTTTGAAAGATGCAGGATGGTATTTATGGACTCCTTCAAAACGCACAATTTTCAAAGACGTCAAAACTGCTAGATTATCAGCTCCACCGAAGTATTCAGGATATGTTCGAACAGATGGTTTTACTCTTATCATAAACAACATTTCACAAGCTGATATGAACGTTAGTTACTCTTGTGATTATGGATTGCAGTTGGGAGACAATATAGTTTTACACAAAGATGATGTTTTCAAAAGTAGGTAAAGCAAATATATTGACCATTTCTTTTCATTATTCCATGTTGAATGTCCGTCCAATCTTCTAACTCACTCGTTCATTGAAATGAATACACAGTCTTAGTCGAAAACGGTTATACAAACTCTAATAATTTAACATGTCAAAAACTGGTTTTAGCATATTAATGTTATTCCTGAGCAAAAAAGAAATTAATCAAAAAGGCAAGCAATGGATACTTCTGTGAAATATATGAAAGTGATTTGCATTTTAACAGAAAATTGGGATCGCTTAAAAAAAGGAAAACCGCGAAAACCACGTCACATTCGTCATACTTATCTGCACATTCCTTATTTGTCACCTTTTCCTTCCATTTGACATACGTTACTAGTCAATTAAAAACAATACTAAGAAAACATGGAAAGACAGGAAGCATTTTAAATGACTCAAAGGTTAACACGTTTCGATGTGACATCTCGATGTCCATTATATAATGACGAATTGAAAAGCGATTATTACACTTATATTTGAGAAATATGTGTTTTGCAAATCAATACAAACAGAAGGAAAAAAGTAAGAACAACACAAATTTATTTATTTTCATTATACCTGGTCGATCTCTTATTCAGTATTATATATTGAACCCAATTTCATGGATTGTTTTCATTAATTTCAAAAGTACATGTATTCTTTAATTTGTTTAGATGACAGATCAGGACTAAGTATCAGTGTTTTGTAAGTACTTTATTTTAAGTATCAGTGTATTATTTTAAAAGTACTTTATTTTAAGTATCAGTGTATTGTAAGTACTTTATTTTAAATATCAGTGTATTGTTAGTACTTTATTTTAAGTATCAGTGTATTGTTAGTACTTTATTTTAACAGATCATAATACAACTATGAAAGCAAATACTTAAGTTAAAAAGACAAAAAAAAAAAAAAAAAAAAAAACGAGCTGCAACTAAATGTTTAGGCACTAGCCAAAAACTTTGATGTTAAGGAATTGCTCACCCCTCCGGTGAACCTGACAAAACCCGCAGTTCTAAGTTTATAAGTATTCTATGTTTCGTCTTGTGAAACAATTCATTTGTTATTGTCATTTTGAAATGTTCTCAAGACGTTGTCAGTTTTACGTCCACTTGAACAATCAGGGGCATTTCTTTGGGTAGATTCACTTTTTTCCCATCATTTTGGTTTGTACAATAGCAGTACATTTTCAGTCTAGTTCTTTGCCTTAATATGCAAATTGTTAGACAGATTTGCAGTTTATCTGTAGGACTGTTTATTTGTATAAAGAAAATGAGTGATTTATTGCATCATTTAAAATGTGTCAACAGATAACAAATATTGATGTTTCTTAGAATCAAATTTTCAACTCAGCCATTTAAGGGGAGTTAAATCTTATAGTAAAAGATGTATATTGGAATGATAGTGAAAGTTTTATTATTTCCAATTGTAACAAGAACACAAGTTCAGTGACCCCATTTGTTCTTTATATTTTTTTAAAGCATATCATTAAACCTATCTTCTCATATTTTTTTCACTTTATTTTATAATTTCATTTTATACACAAAACTGCATGACTTGTAGTTTGAAAAATATATATATATATATATATATATATAATTCGTATAAACATCAGCCCAACAATGTTAGATCTGTAAATTTGCGTTAGCAAATTGTTTGTTCATCTTTAGCCGGGATTCGATCTCATACTTCTGAGATATCGTGGCACCAAATCGCATTGCACTGAGAGCGACGCGCTAGACCACTCGACCACCTAAGCTCTATATATATAAAGGTTGAGACTGAACACCAATGGAACACGAATGCGGCCACTTCCATTTAAACTTAAAACCATATATAAAGTGACATTTTGTGGCATTTTTGATGGATTTGTCATATTTAAGCTTTTATTTGAGCGTCTTTAGTGACCAAATCAGTTCCAATCTTTTACTTAAACTAATTGAATCGTACTTTAAATTGTAAGTCAAAACAAGCCTTTATTGGACCTTCTCCTTTGTTGGACACGAAGGGTTTTTAGTGTTTCGTCTTATTGTCAATCCTTGTAATTTGTGTTTATATCTTCTTAATCTTTACTATATCGACACATTGAGTTCAATATACGGTACATATTATCAACGACGATTTTTTGTTTTGACGTTGTTGTCAAATTCATCTTTTTTGTTGGCGTCTTTGTTAAATTTGTTTGTCTGTTTTTTTGGATTTTTTAGTCAGTTTTGTAGTATGTTTGTGATGTATGGCTTCTATATCCCAATTAAGTGTTCCATTCACGTATTATGCCTGTTTAGGTTGGTCAACTAATTTTGTCAATATAACGGAATTATAAAAAACTGTCTTACAACTGGAAGGTTAAGCTAGCTTTAAAAGCAAGTTTTTGGCAGATGTTTTCCTATCGTTTTATGGTTGATAGCGGTTGATTTTGTTAGTTTTTATAGAAAGCCACTTTTTGAAATTGCCTTAGAGATCGGTATTTTTGTTTTAAAATGTTAAGAGGCGTTTCAAAAATTGTCGAAATGCCAATTTAGTACTGTAACAGTAAAATTGATACCGTAAATGCTATTTTTATTTCATGGGTTTGTTTTATTTCTAATTTTATCTTAATAATTTAATAATTTAATTCTTGATGTTATACTGCCTCATTGGCACTCATTCCACATCTTCTCATATCTAAACATTTATCTTTTTCTGTTTAACCAAAAAAAAAAAAAAAAAAGAAATACGTTTATTATTTTTAGATTTAGATTTAAATTTTCCCTACTATAATTGTTACTGCTTAATAGGAAAAGTATACTGCAGCAGCTTTCATTTGAATTTTTTTATTCTATTTTATTTTGAAATTTGAAATATAAAATCAATTACGGATGACATTTAAATCAATTTGGTTTGTATATTTTTTAACCTATAGATATTGTAATACTTTTTACGTGGTATCATAGATATAATTTGCTTCAAAGTGCTCATTTATTCGTACATGTATTGAGTTTTTTTTTCCTTTATTTCAGTATGTTACACTAGCTGCAATTAATTTAAATAGAGGAATTTAACATCTTAAACTTTGCAATCCAGTTTTGATTTATTGACTAATGTTTCTAAAATAAAATCTTCAGATAAATTTCCATCACGATGAAATTAAATATGTCGTTAATAAGATTGAGAATGGAAATTGGGAATGTGTCAAACAAACAACAACTCTACCAAAGAGCAGACTACAGCAGAAACAGCTGAAAATCTTGCACGCGGAGGCGGGCTTTAGCTAGCCCCTAAACAAAAATGTGTACTAGTACTTTAAAATGAACGTCACACTAAACTCCAAAATATCAATATACACTCTTTATTTAGTTTACAAAGAACAGACATTTGTTGCTATATGTGCTGGATATGCTTATGATATCCAAAAAGTGATCCGAATAGTCTCCGTCATACACAATGTGAATCAATTCGAACAAAATAATCAACGAAAAACAAGAAAATAGAGAATGCATCTGTTCTTATTATTAGCATTAACATTTACATTTTTTTCTTCAATAAATTGTTAAAATTATACTTTTTTCAGCGTTCTGATAATTGCTGGAGGCTCTGTCCTGACTATTCTTCTGTTAGCATTTGTCATTTGTATATGTTGTAGACAGCTGTCATATAAACAAGTTGAAACAGACGACCCTTTTAAAGGTAAACTAATTAAATTTTATCAATAATTGTTGATAAAACTCAGTTTCATTGTATCTTATGATTTAGATAATAGCGTTCTATGTGTTTTATCTGGAAAATTATCACTTTTTTAAACATTGTAGCATAAATCAGGACTTAAATGTCGTGTTAAAACACAAAGTGCATAGGCGGATAATTGTTACCATGACAAAATAAGCATTTATTGTAATACATGATGCAGATCATTTTTCATTGACAGAAATGAAAGGAGCCTAATTTGGATATCGGTATCACTTAGGTCGACTAATACGTGAAATTTCCCATTAAAAAATAGTTTATGTCTAATTGTTTTGCTCACGAAGTGTCACACTTAAATGTATAGATTGAGTTCAAAGTGTTTGATATCAATAGCAAGCAATATTGTATCTAATCAATATTATTAACAATTTTAATCTAACAGGAACTATATCCGACACAAAAGCTCAAAAGTCTGAAAAGACCGAGTGTTGTCTCAAATTGCAGGAACAATTACTCGACATTCTTTAAAAGCATGTCTTGTGTCTTAATTTGTCTTTACAATTTCTGATTTATAATAAAATTGTAGGAGAATTACTCGAAATTTTATCAACATTCAGAATGTTTAAAGACTGTCTTGAAATTTGTGGACAGGTTCTCGACATTTTTTTTATTTCTCAGTATGGCCTGACATATTCTGGACATTTGAATTATGTCTTAGATTTATTTGACAATTCTCAGCTTTACAATCATGGCCAATATACATTATACATCTTTATCGGTATTTCTCTGAATAAAATAAACAGTTATTTCAAGTTTTCACTTATAACAACAAAAACAAAAATTCGGCATGTAAACATTTTTATAACAAGAAATTTGGGAAAGTGAATTTTCTTATAAATACAAATATGGGTATGAAAATGTTAACAAATACAAATGTGAGCATGTTGATATAAACCAATTTAAAGATGGTTATGTAAATAGTTACAAATTTTGATTTATAAATCTTATAAATAATTGACAAATTATACTGTAGACACTTTTCATTTTTTATGAATAATATTCAATGTTAATATGGTAAATAAACAATCATTGTACCAAAATGTTGCTTTTTATATGTACAGTGTACTATTGTATCATAATTCTTCTAAGTTTAGTTTAGCGATAATAGAAATGAGTATAAAACAGCAATAGGAAGTGTTAAAACTGTCAGGATTGTATTTGTACACAATTCAGGAGATATGTAAACTGTTGAGATAGTGTCGAGTCATTTTTAAAACCGTCAAAAATGTGTCGAGATATATTCAGACAACTTTAAGACTGTCAATAATGTGTCAAGACAAATTCAGACTTCATTAAGAATGTCAAGAATTAGAATCACTATCAAACAAACTTTTATATAAGTCTCTGATAAATAAAACATTTAAACCAGCTATTGGACCCCCAAAATGACTGCGTATACTTGCTATAGTTGATGTGTTATATCAAAACAATTTATATAAATTTTTATTCAAATATTTAAAAGAAAATAAACTTAAAATTTTTAGATGGAAATTACTTATTCTTCCTACAAAGAAACTTTTATTCAGGTGGAAAATTGTAAACAATAGTTTTTGTAACTTTTGTACACAAGAAGAAGGTTATGAGCACTGTGTCCACATTTAGAACATTTTTAGAATAAAATGAATGACGTTTTAAAGAAGAGTAAAATAACTTTTAAGATAAGATTAAGACATTTGGTATTTGGATATAAAACTTCTGACAAAGAATATTTTGACTTTAACTATTCTTTAACAATTGTTGGTTTTTCAATTTTCAAAGCCTATTCTGATCAAAAGACAAAAAATGTCAATGGTTTTTCAATTTTTCTTAATGAGTTCAATAGAAGAGTATGTTTGACAATTATAAGTAATGTTTTAGCAACCATTAGAAAACATATGAATAATCATTATGAGTGATATTATTTAATATATATTTGATGGTATATGAATTTTACAACTAATTAAGTCCCTGAGTGCTTAGTGGAATGTAACAGGGAACATCAGGAGGAGCTAAGACTCTTGAAGGATACTGTAACAAGACAATAATTGAAATCAATATTTAATTATGTTGAAAAAAAAGAATGTCGAGAATATCTCACGTCTGATCGAGACAAATATCAGACCTTTGAGAATTTGTCGAGACTAATCAAGAAACTGAGTAGATGATAAAAAATGTTTGAGACAAAGTTAATACTGTCAAGGCATATGTCAAGAATAATCGAATCCCTATTTAAGACAAGACTTTGTCAAGAATTTTTACAAAAATTGCAGACAAAGATATAATGTCGAGTAAAAATTAATGCAAATTCAGACAAAAATTGGTCTTTTCAGACTATATGACTTTTGTAGTGATGTATACTATCAACAATTGGAACTAATCTAAAAAGCTAGGTACATCTGCTTTTTCGTAAGGTTTTTTCTTTTTTGCATACGTTGGCAGTTTTTCTTCGAGGGAGAAGTTCTGAATGCTCTCTTTGTATCTTCCATCTTTTTATGTTTAGATGATTGTGGAAATTTTATGAAACGAAAACAGTTATATTTGACAGTCAAATTGAATATCTGACAAAAATCATGAACTTTGTTTCGCCACCTCAATTATAAACTGTAAACAATATATACTAATGAGCAAAACAAAAAAAAAGTTTGATATCTATTGAATAATTCATACATAATCAGTATATTGCATGACTTGTTATTTGTTATTTTTAGCTCACCTGGCCCAAAGGGCCAAGTGAGCTTTTCTCATCACTTGGCGTCCGTCGTCCGTCGTCCGTCGTCGTCGTCGTCGTCGTCGTCGTCGTCGTCCGTCGTCGTTAGCTTTTTACAAAAATCTTCTCCTCTAAAACCACTGAGCCAAATTTAACCAAACTTGGCCACAATCATTATTAGGGTACCTAGTTTAAAAAATGTGTCCGATGACCCTGCCAACCAACCAAGATAGCCGCAATGGCTAAAAATAGAACATAGGGGTAAAATGTAGATTTTGGCTTATGTCTCTGAAACCAAAGCATTTAGAGTAAATCTGACATAAGGTAAAACTGATTATCAGGTCAAGATCTATCTGCCCTGAAATTTTCAGACAAATCTGACGACCTGTTGTTGGGTTGCTGCCCCTGAATTGGTAATTTTAAGGAAATTTTGCAGTTTTTGGTTATTATCTTGAATATTATTATAGATATAGATAAACTGTAAACAGCAATAATGTTCAGCAAAGTAAGATCTACAAATAAGTTATCATGATCAAAATTGTCAGTCGACCCCTTTAGGAGTTATTGCCCTTAATAGTCAATGTTAAACAATTTTTCGTAAATTTTTGTAATCTTTTACAAAAATCTTCTCTGAAACTACTGAGACAAATTTAACCATACTTGGCGATAATCATTATTAGGGTATCTAGTTTAAAAAATTTGTCCGATGACCCCGCCTTCCAACCATCATGGCCAACTTGGTTAAAAATTGAACATAGGGGTAAAATGCAGTTTTTGGTTTATATTTCTGAAACTAAAGCATTTAGAGCAAATCTGACTCTGGAAAAAATGTTCATCAGATTTAGATTTATCTGCCCTGAAATTTTCAGACGAATCCGACAACCCGTTGTTGGGTTGCTGCCCCTGAGTTAGTAATTTTACAAAAATTTTGCAGTTTTTTGTTATTATCTTAGATATCATTATAATATCTAATATTTAATACTATTAATTATGATTTTAACCTTATTTTACATGATTTCCAAAGCATCAGTAAATACAGGTGAGCGACACAGGCTCTTGAGAGCTTCTAGTCTTTATTTAACTTAAACTCTTCTCTTTAAATCTTTTGGTACATTAATGATGAGACACCAAGAATTTTGTTTTTAGACAATACAAGGGACTGACATTATACACTTCTAAAGTAAATTACATCGAATGTGTGTTAATGTTCTACCTGGCATATAGCAAATACTTGTGTCGAATCGAAACATATATATCGTTTAAAATTACAATATGAATCAGAGGGAGAAATACCAAGGGCACAATACAATACAACATGGCAATGAAATACACACACGAACAAAAGGAAAGTTAAAAATAAACAACCAGTAGTCGTTAAAGAACTACAGCTAAATGCATTATGATTGCATGCAATGAGTGATATTATGTCCAGTTTGACACTTTTAATCTTGAATTGGAATATATGGGTATTCAGCTTTAGATGCAACATGCAGAAGATAGAACGGGAATTTATTGCATGTAGTAAGAATAGTTTGGTTGGAAATGGAAACAAGTCTTTTTCAAAATGTTACCTTCTGAACGAGCATTTGTTGTGCGTGCTGACCCAATTCCAAACAAAATGTTTCTATATTGCCTTCCTTCTTTTTCATGGTATCAGACAATTTCTATTTGATTCAATTAAGTTGCTGTTGATGCTTGCTTCAGTTTAATAATTACTAGATTTAAATGTTGTTTCATAGGAGTATGTTTTGTGAATTTCAGGAAAAACAGACGGCATTCGAACAAACAAGTTCATTATCCATAACGAATATTGTACGAAGATTGAAGTTTCATTTGTATCTTCTCAACCACAAAAACGCACTGATACAAGTTTCGTGAAATATGGATATTTTGAAGTGTGCAAAAAAAGTAAAACAAAAGGAATGAATAATGCTGACATTGAAAGCGGCCAAAAGTATGAAATCATATTGAAGAAACCTTTCATAGGTTGTAATGTTCGCGTAAAGTACACACAATACTTTCTACATTATTTTCCCTATCCATGGTACGGACGCATCAGTCTTCAACACATAAGAGGAAATGAAATGGTTTTCACGACAAAAGGCAAACTAGAATATACGAGATATAAAAAAAAACAAATCAGCAACAATAACGCTTCAAGTTTGCAGAACGATTCAAGGCTAACTTTTGAACTGAATATAGATAAACTGGTACACACAATTCTCAACAAAGTTTAAACAGTGTTTGAACAATATACGTTTCATCCAACTTCAAACAGTAATAGTGCTAGGCAAAATTGATTGAAGTGATGTGTCTTTTAATGTTGTGTAGTGGTAGAACATATAAGTCTGCCATAATACAAAAGTTTGATATTTCTATATTAACTAGTATTAAGAAAAATCGCAAAATATATTAGTTAGAAAAAACTGATGAATAAAAATAAATCTGAAAGTCAGAATCTCAAAAATTAGGTATTACATATTTAGTGTATAGAAAAATATACCTTACCCATTTGGGAGAGAAAGTAAGTTATCGTCGGCAGACATTCACATTGTATAGATAAATATAGGCAACAGTAGTATACCGGTGTTCTTAGGACATAAATCGATTGAGAGAAAACAAATCCGGGCTACAACTAAAACCAAGGCAAACACATCACCTAAAGGAGGAAAACAAATGAATAACAGGAGCACTGAATTGAAAAAAAAAGAAAAAAAAACAACAACCGCTAAAATACAATGAAACGAACTATTTGATAACAATTGTCATATTCCTGACTTGGTACAGGAAATTTGAAGACAAAATGGTGGGTTGAACCTGGTTTAATGGCTAGACAAGCCTCCCGCTTTATGACGATGTTAGATAAATGATTCTGTATTTACTCCCGCTTTTTTTCCATAAAAACAAAAGCATTAGCATTAAAAAAATCTTGACTTCAAGAATGGTCAGTTGACAATGCGAATACATGTTATTCTAACACAACATTTAAATTCATTTGAAGCAATATGGTGAACTTACTGCTTATCTGATGACTTGTTTGAATTCAGGATAAATTGATCATATTAAGCAAGTGTAGTTTCAAAGTCAAAATTTATACCAACCATTGACAACAGACAATGCAGATATACCAAAGTTATCTTTTAAAAAATGACAGCAAACGAAATGTGTGAACAGTTTAAAATTGTCCAGAGTAGATGTGTCTGAATATGTATTTAAATATTGAATATGACTTACTTATTTATTGCTTTTTGCTTAGTTATTTAAATGAAGAATCAAATTCAGCATTTTTATTTAACTGGAAATTTATATGTAACACTCCCAAACGTGTCCATCCCCAAACGTGTCCGATTACCCCAAACGTGTTTATTTCCGACAAACGTGTCCTTATAAGTTGATATCGCCCAAACTTGTCAGATTTAATAACCCTACAAAAATGTCCGATAATTGTTATTATTCAAAACGTGTCCACTTTAAAACGCATGAACGTCTAAAAACTTAAAGCGCTATGTTCTCAGTGACGTAAATAACATTTACGGCAATTCCATAATAAGGGACACAATTGAAGATGTCGGGTTTCGGCTGGATCCTAAATAAGATAAAAACCACATTCAAAAGACTTAAATCCTGAAGTATTTGTGGCATAATTACCAGAAATTAAAAAAAAAAGTAGCAGAGTTGAAAGAAGAAAATTCCGGATGTATTAACATTTATTTATTACTGCCAGTTGTTTATATTTAGTATAATTGCAAATTTGATAAGCAACATATAAATAAATGTTGACTGTTGCTTAATTGTTTAATGTCTAGTGGCAAGTATTTCATGCATATTTACAGCGAACATAAAAATTAGTCTATTACAGTTAAATGAAAAGTTTACTAAGTAAATTATTCCGTACTAATAAACTGCGTTAATACCTTTCTTATCATCATGTATGCGGATATATCACGGCCGGCTTCCTGCAGAGGTGTTTTCCAATTTTGTCAACATTTCTGACTTTTAAAAGGTCGTGAAATAATAAGCTGGTACTCAGGTTTTTTTTCTATAAATGTTGGGTTTCGAGCATCACTTAAAGATACAAACAAGAGACATTGCGTCCAGTGGCAAATTTTTCGTGCATTATCAGGACTACACATATGGCAAAATCAAAGGTATTTTATTTATATGATTTGCACGTGACTTTGGCTCTTTTGATTAAATTACTTCCCTCAGTTTAAAATTGAAAATATAAATTATATCAAATTTGCGAATAATCAAGTCTTTTTCCGTCATGGATCTAAAACTAATGTGTCTTTGAAAACTTCGTTTGGCGGATATTTACAAAAATGTTGTGTAATTCTAAGGGAAAATGCTTTAAATTTGACTTTTTACGAAATGGGAAGGTTGAAATCATCATGTTTTTAAAAGAATTTGGCCGCAAACTTAAGAAAGCAGGTAATTTAAAAGTTGTTTAACTTTAAAATTCAACCTACAAGGTGTTTCCCTATATGCGGACAAATCATGAACAATATCTTCTTGTATCTTAATTTCTGTTTTGAATCTTGCTTTTTTACGATTTTTTTGTTATTTTATATAGCAATTATACTAAGGTTACGCTTCCGATTTTCAAACTAATTGTATGTAGGCAACGTACTTACAAGTGTTGATACGGAAGAAGCCGCCTTAAATGTCTTTGAAAACTCATGACAAATTAAGGATTCAATTTGAGAACATGGAAGTCTAATAGCAATCAACTTAGCGATGAAGCTACAACGGAAAACATAATAGATAAGGATAGCGAGACGAAAATGCTTGGAAAGCGTTGGGATGCGAAGTCAGACATATTGACATTTGCAAAACAAAATGAATATCGTATAGATATTGACACCTCACAAGCGACAAAGAGAGAAGTTTTGCGAAAATCATCGTCAATTTACGACCCACTCGGAATTCTTGGACCTGTGACAGTAAGAGCTTAGTTGCTTAAACAAACATTATGGAAAGAGGGTTACGATTGGGACCAGGTGTTACCGAGTACAAGTTAAATCATGGTGTGAAATCCTAAATGACATCCGAGATGTTACTGTTAATACGAAAATCGCACGCCATTATTTTAACGATCACAATGAGAACAAAAGCAACGAGAAAATAACACTGCATGTCTTTATTGATGCCAGCCAACGTGCTTATGGAGCCAGTGTCTATTTGTGTAAAGGAAACACTTCTTCTCTCGTAATTGCAAAAATCCGGATCGCTCCGATCGCCAAAAAGACATTACAAAAACTAGAATTGATGGCCGCAGTAATAGGAGCTCGAAAGGCTAAACACCTCACGAAAACCCTAGAACCACAACGAACAGTATTACGGAGTGACAGTCAAATCGTTCTCCACTGGATTTCATCTCGAAAAACATTTGGAAAATCGTGTGCTAAAAAAAAAAAAACGACACAAAATTACGACTGGAAAAACGTACCAACTGAATCAAATCCAGCCGATCTTCAAACTCGAGGAATATTGTCAACGCAATTCAAAGAATTGACTCTGTGGATGCAAGGACCATCATGGATATCGAATGAGAACAGTTGGTCTACATGAACCCCGCAAGTGAAACAAGAGACTCTTTTGTTGACGACAGCAGATGACAGCGAAAAGATGAAACATTGTGTATTGAACGGAATTTCGAAAATAACCGATGTATCAAGATTCTCGCTTTGAAAAAATTACTACGAGTTACATGCTACGAGTTTAAATTTGTGAATCAATGTAAAAGTAAGCGACCGTATAATCTGAAGAAAAATACTACACACAAAAAACATATTACGAAAGATGAAATCGAGCGCGCAACTCATACGTGGATTATAGACATTCAGAATGAAAAATTTTGTGGTGAAAAGGAGCAACTCGCGAATCCGTCACAGGACAAGAATCTACCTTTGGTAAGACAATTGCGCTTGTTCATACACACATAGGGTGTCATTCGATGCGACGGCCGCATACACAATTCACAATTATACGACTCTGCGAAATTTCCAGTGTAATTACCGAAGAAAAATGAGTTTACGGAATTAATCATATTGAACGCGCACCTACAGATGTTGAATTCAGGAGCTGGACACACAATTACGTAAATTCGCCAATCATAATGGATACCGTTCGTTAGAACGTGCGTGAACCACATTGTACAGTATAACGTGCAGAAAAGTTACCGGTAAAGCGTTTCCACAGCAAATTTCGCCTCCTCTACCGAAGGATAGAGTCACCGACATGATTCCGTTTACGACAACTGGTGTTGATTTCGCTGGACCACTCTTTGTTAAGGAAAATGGACTTATGACGAAAAAGTATATTTGCCTATTCACATGTGCGTGTATACATGCCGTACATCTAGACCTTGTAACAGATCTAACAATCGAGTCATTCAAATGAGTGTTTCGACGATTCGTTAGTAGAAGAGGAATTCCTAGTACCGTGTATTCCGACAACGCGCCAACCTTCGTTCCCGCTTCACATAATATTCCGAAGGAAATGAACATTCAAATCAATTGGAAATTAGTTCCGAAAGCAGTGCCGTGGTACGGTGATTGGTGGGAGAGACTAGTTGGACTTACTAAAACGACATTGAAAAAAGTGCTCGGGAAATCACAAGTTAATTCTGACGTATTACGAACAATTTTAATAAAAAGCGAACGTGTAATCAACGATCGTCCAATTATGTATGTGTCATCTGACATCCGAGATCCAGAGCCACTAACGCCGTCACATCTACTACAGGGAAGAAGATTATCACAAGAGAACAATTCTGATTAAGAGAACAATACTTCTAATTTTGATTTTACAGAAAGGCGAACAAACGTTACAACCATAAAGTAACTTTAATTGAACACTTTGCAAAACGATTGAGAATGGAATACCTCACCGGACTAAGAGAATTTCATCGCATCGCCGAAAACCAAAGTCGATTCCGTCGTATAAATCATGGACAATTCACCGAGAATGATATAGAAACTAGCAATTATAGAAGATGTGATCACCAGGAATGATGGAGTAGTTAGAGCAGTCAAGCTTCGTACATTCAATGGACTGATTACAACGAGGCCAAATGTGAAACTGGTGCCAGTAGATATATGAACTGTAATTGGTTAAAGTGTTTTTCAATACCCTTTTCTTAACCATACATGAACAGTAAATGCATTTTGCGGCCCCCAGAATGTTGTGAATTAGTTAAGATTCAGTTCAGTCTGTTTTATACTCTTTATTTTGGTTAACGTTTTACCGCCAGTTTACGTAACAATAGGCCCGCAACGTCGTCACTTGCCGACGTCTCTATATATATCATTGACTCCAAGAAAAGCATACGAAACATTAAAGACGCCTTTGTGTTTATAACCATTACTCGCCTTTATTAACTACACGTCCAAAACACCAACATTTGCGCGAGAAACATTTCCAGGCACAACAATAAGTTAATTAAGAACTTTAAAAGTGTCATCAAATATCGTTCTACGTTATGGGGGCAAAGACTTGTTGCAATCAGCACCTGACAATTCTTTATTTACATTTTCTACATTTACACGTGATCATCTATAAGGTGTTTTTTGATTATATGCAGTCAGTTACAACTTCGACCAATAGAAATCAATACCTCGTGTCTCCGAAATTCTATTGTAATCCGCCAAGGGTTGAGAGAAGGTGACTGGATCGTAAGCCTTGTCTTCTCTCAACCCTTGTCTAGCGAAGATTGATTGATTAATTGTTGGTTGCCTAACGTCTAGTGGCAAATATTTCATGCATATTCAGGACGAGAACAAGTTCTCAATAAATACAATAGGTAGGTTCTGTAATAGATTAAGGGATTAAGGTCGGAGAAATTTAGACTGCCACGGGAAATGAGGGTATATTCGATAGGGACAGAAATTTAGCCTTGCAACAGGTCACCTACGGACCCCTCAAAGAGTTGTTGCAAGGGTTCTTAACGTGCAAAGAGCGTAGCACTCTCGTTACACGAGGCATCGGATTTAACGTCCCCATTCTGACCGGACGTGGCTGCAAATTTGTACATCCCGCACAGCCAAAACGGACGCCCCACTTTAGCACGGGTTTTACTGCCGGTCGGGGGAAGGCCAATGGTGACCATACTTCTATTCCCCAGTCACCCTTGGGGGTGTCTAGCGAAGATGGTTTTGAGGAAAACCTTAAGAAGATAGCGAGAACCTAACAAAATAAATGATCAGCAATACAAGATCAACAAAACGGAGATATTTGTCAAGAATTCTATTCTCATCTACAATATTGGAGAGTGTTCTTTTTTGAATATGCACATAGGCCTACGTGGGCGACACAGGCTCTTTATAGTCTAAAGTTTAAATGTTCATACATGGTTCAAGCAAACAACAATTAAACATTTAATCAATCGAATCTAAATCTTTAATTTAATGACTGAAAGGCACATGATGTCCAAATAAGAAGCATGAATATGGAAAAAGAAATATTTTATTAAAGTAAAAAATACTCTATTTTTGTATTTGAGAAACAATATTACTAAAAATATATAATATTTCCAGTTATTTGTAATGATTTGTAAACTCAATATTCAATATGTATAACCAAGAAAATTAATAAAATTTCTATCAGATAAATATATGTTAGATAATGTCAGTTAATAATCACAGGTATAACATGTATAAGTAATAAGATATTGCCAGTTTTTTTACATTTAAAACAAAAAGCAATCTTGCATATATTTGATCGCAAATAAATAAATAATGACTTTGATATATCACATATATCATACGATTAAAGAAATTTAATGCATAATTTTTCATATTAACATCTATTAGGAAAATGTTCAGGGACGAACCACTAGTAAGTCGTTTAGTTTGATACTGCTGTGTCCAAAGTTTACAACAAAACCTTGTTTTCTCTTAAAAATGTTACACGAACAATGACAGCAGAATAGAACTACAAGTAAGGACAAGGAATCATTGACCCACATAAATAAAATTATTCCTTTCCAATTACTTTTCTTTGTAATAAATAAGGTAAAAGTAAGTTCTACAATTTCGAGTTTTTAATCAATTTTTTTTACTGTAAACAGACTTATTTTCACGGATACTTTATTTCACGTTTTACACTTTCTAGCCCATTTGGCGGCTATCTAATTTTGCGATATTCTAATTTGATTGATGTTGTTTAATAAGGAAAGATCCAAGTTTTACATATTCGCGACGATTGATATTTGCGTTATTTTTCTAAACGCGAAAATAAATCGCTCGCGAAAATAAGTTGGTCTACAGTATTCTTTATAACTTTAACCGCCACCACATCCACCGCCACCACATCCACCACCCCCACATCCTCCACCACCGCATCCTCCGCCCCCACCGCCACCATCGCCACCTCCGCCATCACCACCACCACCACACCCGCCACCAGCACCGCCACTATCACCAAAGTCTCCTCCAGCACCATCATTACCAGCTTCGAAGTCACCAACATCGTGTGTATCATATCCGTAATCATTGTCATTACCACAATCATAGTCAATTTGATCGATGTCCACGCTTCCACCGTCACCAAAGTCACTCCAACTTCCCCAGAATCCACCGTAGGGGGTTGGTCCCCATCCCCATCCCCAACCCCAGCCCCAACCGGGTCCATAACCACCAAGACCATAACCTATGGCTCCTCCAAGGATTACACCTAAAAGTACAATATGACATGTTATCTTGCCTCCTATATATTTCAATGAATATCATTCCTTTAAAACGGACACGTGCAGACTCTGTATATTCAATGTTTGGTTAGTGGGCGTGATTAGCAACAGCGTTACGTCCTTTAATAAAAACAATACGATGTTGAAGAAAATCCGTAAACGTTTCATCCAGACAACAGATGAAGAAATTAATGATAAACAATCAAAAATAAATGCAGAAAACACATTTAAGGCTAACATATAGTAATTTTTGATTTTTGTGTTTGTATAGACCAATGAAAATAGGTTCTTAATATACTCATTTTGATTTTACATGAGAAATTAATGAAAACGGGTATATTTCCATTGGTTTCTTGGACAATGAACATAAGAGCACAGGTTTCTTGGACAATGAACATAAGAGCACAAGCGTCGACAAAAAAGATCACTTAATATAATCTTTTTGACGACATTTTACATATTTCACTAGAATATTTAGTTTGTCGACACCTGCACTCTATGTTTCCTAGGCCTTAATGTAATTGAAATCAGAACAAGTTGGTTAAATTCGCAAGTAAACCTCTATTGTTCATCTATTTGGAATGTACAAATAGCATTTTACAATAAATCTTTGACAATTGTTTTTTATTTAATTTTCTCAAATGTATGTTCATCAACTTCAAGCATTTTTTTTCCCTCAAACATACAACTTAATAATCAGGACCAAATATGGCTCTTACATAAATTACTCCTTTACTGACCCCGCATTTATCGTATTAGGTCACTACCACATTATGTAACTAATATTCTTTCTAATTTGTTTTCATAAATTCAATATAATTTCGTGTTGTTATCAACCCGAATAATCGGTGCTTATGGAACACCACAGCTGTCTTATGTGGAACTTTGATATAACGTTATGTTGTGTTATTATTACTTGATAATATTTTGTCTTTACATAATATGGTTTTGACTTTACGTAATGATGTTTTGATATAACTCAATATGGAATAGTTATTACTTAATGATATTTCGACATTACACGATATGGTTTCGTATTGAATTGATATAGTTTTGTCATCACTTAATATGGTTTTGTCATTACTCGATGTGGTTTCACCATTATTTAATGTAGTTGTTTCATTCGGCAATGTGGTTTTAACATTACTTGATTTGTATGTGACTTAACGTAATGTATTTATTTCATTACATGATGTAGTTTTGTTATTTCGTAATGATGATTTGCCAATTCTTTTTATGGCTTTAAAATAACGTAATGATGTTTTACGATTTTACACTACATGATTTGTTTGTTTCAGTATTTGATGTGGTCCTTTCATTCTTTGATGTGGTTATCACATTACGTGGTGGAGGTAAAACTACGTGACCATTTCGGAAAAACTAGTTCTATTTTTAGATTTTAGATTTCCATGTTCTATTTTTAGATTTTAGATTTCCATGTTTTATGTGGCTTGGATGAGTGTGGCCATCCATCGAGTTAGAGTTTAAATTAAAGATTCGAATTAAACTTAGAGTTTAAATTAAAGTTTCGAATTAAACTTTGAGTTACGTCTTCGATTTAAGTTATGATTCAAGCCATTATTAGAATAAAAGTTCTAGTAGCATTGAGTTTCGGGTTCAATTTCAAGATTGAGTCAAAGGTAGCATTCGAGTTACAATAATGATTTCGACTTCAACTTTGAATTTGAGGAGCCTTTTGGGGTAGAGTTTGAGTAAGTGTCGAATATGAGTTTCGTTTAGATTAAGATTTCGAGTTAAAATTGGAGTTATCTAATATGAGTTCGTCAAGGTATTTAAATTTTTCTATCGAAGATCGAGGGCTTCGAAAAGAGGGCTGAGGGGTATTTGTACAAAACATAAACAATGTTACAGTATACAAAACACAACATAGAAATTGAAATAAAGTTGGATGTGTAATGATTGCCAATTAGATTACTATCCACTAAAGTTTAAATGTCACAGTAAAGGATGTAAGCAATCATAGGCAAATGTACAGCCTTCAACGCACCGTATAGTATAAAAAGGCCACAAAGGCCGTCACGTGAAGATGTGAAACAATTCAAATTTATAACAAAACAATCTACGAAAAACAAATTTGACACACATGAAACAATGACAACCATTGAACCACAGGTTCTTCAAGTGACTTGGGCAGGCACATACAGAAAGTCGTGGCGGAGTCTAACATGTATGTGAGTGCTAAACCCTAACCTAAACTCGGACTGTAAACAGCACAACATAAGAAATTGTAAAAAAAAAATCCAATTGGTGATGATCTCGCGTGCTCCAGAAGGTTAAGCAGATTCTGCTCAACGTGTGGTAGCCGTCGTGTTATTCGTGAAAGTTTAAACCCAGTGATTTGGTTTTATTTAGTAGTTCCCGTTCGAGGAAAAGATGACGGAGTTGTGGTACGAAAACTGGAACATATCCGTCGTCACTTGTGAAACAGATATTCCAAAAAGTTTGTTGTTTCAATTAGTGCGATATATATCAGAGTATGCAATTTATAATAATAACAGATTGATATTCGTATATGTTCAAATAATTATACACGCTAAAAAAATAAAAGAATTCATATTTTATAGAATTGATGTTTGTCGCTTATTCCGATCCCCCCATTTCCTTGTAACTTTAGTGTGAGTTGATTTAAAGTGTCTCATTGCCGACAATAAAGTACAAGTCTTTTGATTTTTGTGTTGAACCTGGGACATTAATGTAGCGGCAGTGAGACACAACAAACCTATATTTCGTTGTGGTTAGTGGCGTCGGCGTCTTCATTATTTAGATTGTCAGGTTTCTCCTTTAAATTGTTTTTACATTTTTCATTTCGGGACCTTTTATAGCATACTATGTGGTATGGGTATTGCTCATTGTTGAAGACTATACAGTCAAATATAGTTGTTTAAAACTTCTACGTCATGTGGTAAATATTTGGTTGAGAGTTGTCTCATTGGCAATCATACCACATTTTCTTATTTCTATATAGGTTTTTTTTGCATTAAATATTACCGAGTTAGACTGTTTTGGTATGATAAATTTGAAAAACTCAATGGATTAGTATAACACTTGTATAGGAGTTATTCTTCAAGTTCAAGTTAAAGCAGCTACAGAAAAACATTTCTTTTTTTAATTTTGTATTTACCGATAAATGTACAAATAAATGTACAGTCAACATTACGCTTTTACACTGACAGCAGCAATATCATGCGAGACGAGAATTATGTGGAATCTTTCACGAATTATTATATATACCGCTTCCATTTGAGAACTAAGAAAGAAAAAAAAACGGCAGGACCAAATTGTTTAGGGATATCCCCCGTATGGCCGAAAGACTGTAAATTGTTTAGAACTTTTTTCTTATTTTTGTCTCCCGTTCCCCTTTTTCATACCGAATAACTCTGGACAACAAGTCGAACTTTAATTTGAACTTGAACTCAATGGATGGCGAAACTCATTTAAACGACATTAAACAAACGACATAGTGAAATCGGTTCAAAAATAGAACTAACTCTGAAGTTAACAAAACCTTTAAATAGACTTATTAAGAAGGGATATAGTTACGATACTGTTGTCAGGTCATTAAAGATTGCATATTTTGGCGTTAATATTGATTCACTTATAGGGTCTTTGCATCGGCACTAAACACATTTATTTAAAAACCAGTTGTTGGCATGACACGGGTTATGTTCTTCTCATATATGTTATGATGGTATGATACTAAACCCCTAACGGGAAGGATTGTGCCTGATATTCATATGATGAAGACATAATCTTTCAATCAGTTTAATTGAAGTCTGGAGCTGGCATGTCAGTTAACTGCTAGTAGTCTGTTGTTATTTATGTATTATTGTCATTTTGTTTATTTTCTTTGGTTACATCTTCTGACATCAGACTCGGACTTCTCTTGAACTGAATTTTAATGTGCGTATTGTTATGCGTTTACTTTTCTACATTGGCTAGGGGTATAGGGGGAGGGTTGAGATCTCATAAACATGTTTAACCCCGCCGCATTTTTGCGCCTGTCCCAAGTCAGGAGCCTCTAGCCTGTTAGTCTTGTATTATTTTTAATTTTAGTTTCTTGTGTACAATTTGGAGTTTAGTATGGCGTTCATTATCACTGAACTAGTATATATATTTGTTTAGGGGCCAGCTGAAGGACGCCTCCGGGTGCGGGAATTTCTCGCTGCATTGAAGACCTGTTGGTGACCTTCTGTTGTTGTCTGTTCTATGGTCGGGTTGTTGTCTCTTTGACACATTCCCCATTTCCATTCTCAATTTTAGTTTTTCCGAAATGGTCACGTGGTTTTACCTCCACCACGTAATGTGATAACCACATCAAAGAATGAAATGACCACATCAAATAATGAAACAAACACATCATGTAGCGTCAAATCGTCAAATTTTAAAACATCATTACGTAATGTTAAAACCATATAAAGAATTGGCAAATCATCATTACGAAACACCAAAACCACATTATGTAATGAAACAACTACATTACGTTAAGTCACATACACATCAAGTAATGTTAAAACCACATTGCCGAATGAAACAACCACATTAAATAATGGTGAAACCACATCGACTAATGACAAAGCCACATTGATTAATGACAAAACCATATCAAGTAATGATAAAACTATATCAAGTCAATACGAAACCATATCGTGAAATATCGAAATATCATTAAGTAATGACTATGTCATATTGAGTTATATCAAAACATCATTATGTAAAGACAACATATCATCAAGTAATAATAAAACAACATAACGTTATATAAGAGTTCCACATAAGACAGCTGTGGCGTTCCATAGGTGCTCTACGACGGTTTTATGAACCTCTCGAGTGGAAATGACTGATTAATCGGGTAATATTATCAGTCTTTTTTTTGTCTTAAAATGTTTGATAGGCAACGTTTCATTCGCATGTTATTTGAATTTAAGTAAATCGTGTTTTCAAGGTTAACTTCGTCGTGTTTTCAATGGTAATTAGTCGTGGTTTGAAGACGACCATTTATTTTTAATTGATTTCATTTCAAAATGCGAATGTTGTATGATTCAAAAATGTTTGTTTGTATTGAAAAGGAAACGAATGTCTAGAGATCTATACAAAATCGAAGGCAACACTAACCGTATCAACAAAATCATGAATTAAAATGATGAAAATCTGTATGTTAAACTTACTCGAAATTCAAACATATGATACAAATACTATTGGTTTATTCGTAAGGCATTTACTTACCAGTTGTAAAGTCTGTATTGCTCCGTTCCTCTTTATTCTTCGGTAATTTACCTTGTGGTTGGTCTGAAATAAATCATAAATCATTAATCGGTAAGTACATTACTATGTTTGTCTTTTAAGAAAACAGTCATTTGTCACAAAAGCTGCTAAGACACCGACCATTGATCTTGAGGGGGATGAAGGGGTCATTGGTTTCTTTTCTCAGGATTTTTTATAAGATTGTGTCCAGAGACAAACTTTTTGTTCTGTTACTAACATGAACAAAAAAATCCTTTTAACAATCATCGACGTTCTTATTTCCCCCTAATTTTAAATGAGAACAACCTAATGTTCACTAGCTTCAGAATCATTTTTATCATGGAATTTGGAGTCGAAGAATTTATATAAAAAAAAAAACAACCGTAAGAGCCTGGCTTTCTGACTTGGTGAGTGATGGTAACTCAGCAATTGTTATATTACGCAGAGATTAATAAGATAACTAGATAACCAGGGAAATATACTATCCACATTGTGTGCATTTCATTATTACGTGGCAGCACATATATATATAATTATAAGTATTGACAAAACAGAGGAATTTATGTGTTTGTTCAATGGGAAAAGTCGGTATATCAAAATGACGAAAGTGATTATGGAATATAAACTTCACATTCAAATTCTGCGAAACCTCTTCAAAAGTGACAAAAAACGATAACAAAAATACCGAAATCGTTTGTAAATTCAAAAACGGAGGAAGTCTTAAACCCTGACAAAATTAACCGCTTGACTATATCGACCAAAGGAAAGATTTGAAATCAACTGCAATATTCCTAACAAAACTCGCCAATTTATTATCTGTAAATCGCCATAAAACTAAATGTCAACTCCAGATCTACAGGCATTAGAAAAATTGTATGACAACTTCAATTTTCATGAAAATGTCTAAGACAGTTCAATTACCATCATTCTAGGTAAATTTATTAACCTGTCAAGTGAATAGATATATATAATAAATATTCATCTTCCATTCAACAAACATGTACATTTAAAATCAACTTATTTATCAAAATAACAAGATCCTCTGTTCCTCTTAGCATGAATGATTAGTTCCTTAGAAATTGTAATATCAAGCCGTTTTAGTGAGGTTCATGTTGGACAGACTTTAGTTTTGTGTGTTGTGTTTTCAATACTGTCTGTAATGGCATTTTTGTTTTCAGCTATAATTTAAATTGAAATTTCCTTTGGTATTTTACGCCCTTCTCTTACGTCTTTATCATCGGGTTTTGTACATCCTTTTGTTAAATAAAGAATTTCTTATTTTGTTTATATCATTTGTGAATGTATAAAAGTATTTATTCATAGTAATGCTTAATTGCGTTGATTTATTTGATTTTTTTAGTGTCTTCGGTTTTATTTTTGATACTTACATTGTACAACATTTGTGGGTGGAATTGGTCCAGTCTGGTGACTATTGCTTGAATGATGAGGACGCTCAGGCCTTGCAGGAGGTGGCGGCAGCTTTAATTATACAAAATCAATATGAAAGGTTAAATCATTGGTTGGTCGATTTTATCATTTATGAAAAAATACCAGGGTTAAGATTTTTTGTACTCGATGCGCGTTTGGTGATGATGATGATGATGATGATGACCCAAAAATGAAAACGCGAGTTAAATTTGCTTATTGCTTGTTTTGTTATAAATGTTCCTCCGCATTGTTGTAAATTAAAGTTAACATTTGCAGTCGTGTATGTTGCGATAAAACACAACGCTCATTCCTTGAGATACATATATAATGTTATATTAATCTTAAGTGTAAGATTTATTTGTACTTACCGTTGGTTTGATTGCCTCCAGCCAAGCCCTGTAAGCAATAAAAGAGAAATAGAATAGACAGCTTGAGGAACAGATTCTATCTGGCAAATAGCATGGACATGATGGATATGCATCTTGAGGTATATCACCAGCCCAGTAGTCACCACTTCTGTGTTTACATGAATTATCATTGATATGGTCATAATTATAAATTAACTGTTTACAAAACTTTGAAATTTGGAAATAGTAAGGCTTTTCTACCTCAGGAATAGATCACCTTAGCTGTATTTGGCAAAACCTTTAGGACTTTTTGGTCCTATGCACTTCAACTTCGTACTTTATTTGGCTTTTTTAACTTTTTTGAGCGTCTCTGATAAGTCTTTTGTAGACGAAACGCGCGTCTGGCGCAAATACAAAATTTCAATCCTGGTATCTATTATGAGTTTACTTGCAACATGTATGTTAATGAAATTGTTTTAATAATTTGAGGGAGATTGACTGAATTTGACACTTTATCAGTTTTACAGTTACCAGCACTAGTTGGTTGATCGAAACGATTTGTCTGTGTCTCAACTCAGTGACTTCATGTTTTGAAATGATAAGATACCAGAGTGGTCGTCTGATTTGTATTTTTCTCGCATTTTCCTCAGTTTTTGTCTTCTTAGTCAATTTATGAGATTTAAACATCAGTACACTTCTGTTGCATAATATTAATACCGATGATGAAGTGACATATACAAACAACGTTATGATCTTCATGTTTATCGTCTAAAACATTTTTAGTTTCATGTTTCACAACTATTTTCTCTTTCTCAAAGTTGAAATGCTTTAATTTGGCATATATTTCAAAATATTCACATCTTACAGGTAAATTTAGTTTCATTTTGATCACAACTAAACGGTAAACTAAATTCAATCAATACCTTAACCTGACACAAGACAAATGAACGGACGGACCGAAAACATAACGGTTCCTAATATCGCAGTCGGGCAACACAACAAAACAAATAAAAATAGATATAAGAAGATGTGGTATGAGTGCCAATGAGATAAGTCTCCATTCAAGTCACAATTTGTAAAAGTAAACCATTATAGGTCAAAGTACGGTCTTCAACACGGAGCCTTGGCTCACCCCGAACATCAAGCTATAAAGGGCCCTAAAATGTTAACTATAGGTTACTTACATCATGTCCTCATCACCTGCCGTAAATAAAATCCAGTTCATTTTAATATATTCTTTTTTGGTTCCCTTTTTGAAGATGTCTGGAACACCCATTAAATGTATAACTTGTCTGCCTTTCGGAAGTTGAGGAAATCCAGCAGTATGAAGACACATTGGTCCAACTGCCATGAAATTAGCTACCATCTAGTAAATAAAATTATCAAAGGATAATACTGGTGATGGGTTGTCAAGTGGGAAAATGTCATGCTTATACAGCACAGAATATGAGGGTCTGGAAACAATTTTCAGATAAAAATGCTTCAAAAATATAAGAAAATGTGCAAATAGACAATTTCGGACAACGAAATAAAGAATAAAGAAAAAAAAAGAACACTGGGGATTTGATTGTTCAATTCTATACTACAAAGTGTTACTTCTGAATGTAAAATGTTGTTATAGACATATAAAACAATTCACAAAAATATATACTGACATCCGAAACATACCAGAGACCGGAAGATTATGATTCGTTTAAGGACACACTTAAATTATGGCCTCTACTCATCGGAAGAATGTTATTTATTAAATTTAAACACCTTTTTTAAGGATCAAGAGGTGATTTGACAAAAAGTTCTATATGTGTAATTCAAAAAAATTACCTTGAGTTTAATACCACCCTTGTGGTGGTAATAGTCGCGGTCCTGATACCATAAGAGACTACTGTCGTCAAACAACACAAAATAACGGGACTTCCATCCGTTGAGAAAACATCCTTCTGTATAAAGTTAAAACAGCTCATATGTTAGAGGAGCGTCTGAACATGCGATATGTATGTCTGTTATATTTGAATTGTCTCTTTTCTATTGTTTTGTTTATACCTCTTATATTGTTACCCCTGGGGAATAAATGATTAGCTGTATATGACAAAGCTATTTGGATAAATTTGGTCCTGATGGATGCACTTCAACTTTATGCTTTTGTGTATTTTAACTTTTTTGATTCGAGCATCACCAGTGAGTCTTTTGTACACGAAAAGCGCGTCTAGTGTACATGTACAAATTTAAACCATAAGTATTGAAGTTTTGATGAATTCTTTTTATAGAACCAAACTTCAGCGGTGACGTTGCTTTGCTAGAAGAGACGACGATACTACTGTTTCGGAGTTCGATACTGAACCAGCGGGGTTAAACATGTTTTGTAATATCTCAACCCTTTAAAATAAGTTTTTCTTCAAATTCGGACGAGCTTTATTTAGTAAACATATCTGAGGCGGAAGTTTAGTTCTTGTGGTCCATAACTAGGGTTTTTAAAAAAATGCACAACATGTGTTTTCTCTCTCACGACCAGATAGTTTAAGTAGGGTTATACTAATTAAGTATCATTTTAGGTCCTTTTTGGTCATAAAGCCATCAAACTTTTCAGTCTTATACCTCCTTAGATTTCAAATATTTGGCTGTGCGATTTTCTAGTGAAGGTAAATCAAGAAAAGCGCTTCGGACGTGTTATCTAAATATTGTTGTTTTATTTTTTTATGGTTACAGTGAATTTTGTACATTCAAGACTGAATGAAATCGTCAGTTAACAAAATGTAGTGGTATATATTATGAAAGCAAAATACATGTAAGTAAAATAACAATGCCATTGTATTCTTTTATTTTAGAGATACACGATACACAAAGCACTCTTTCGCGTGTAATAGAATATCAATGTAAAAAAAGATATCGTCATACTTTTCATTTTATTTTGAGTACAACTCATTAATACACTTTTGTTTGTATATTGACGGATGTCACGAGTGAACTAAGAATTGGTTAACCTTTTGGAGCGACCAGTTTTATTGTTGATTAATATGTTTGTCATGTGTGAAGTTTTTGTAGACTTTTTTCTCCTCACCATTTTTTTATGAATAACAATGAGCCTGGCCTGTATCGCCATCCATTGTGTATTTTCTTACTTGTTTGTAAATATTATGCATTTCTAAAGATTCAATGTGAATAAGTTTATAATTGACTAAACTCTCCAACTAATAATGAACGGGTATTGTCATGTTGCTATTTGACTGACAATTTTCAATGATACCATATAAAATCGATTTCCATGGAATCTGCAAATCAATTGTGGACAGTTGAAAGGTTGCGTAAATTACAACTCCTCGTGTTAATCTAAATCTCATATATAAAGTAATACATTATAATTCCATAGAAGAAGAATTGAATGCTAATGATTACATGTGAATGCTACAACCATGCAATTAAGATTAATATCAAGCTTTTTGTTTGTTTATCTATTCAATGTTTGAACATTGTCATGGATAGCACGTGCGGTTAAAGCTGTTGTATTTTATACAAAAATAATTTAATTTTGGGTGTAACACGTCTTCTGATTGGCTGAAAGTTTTTTTGTCTATTAGCTCATAGACATAATTTTGTCATGTGACCGTGACGTCATCAACATTTATTTTTAGTGATGTACTCCTTAAAAATGGATTTAGAATTAAATTTTAAGGAATTACTGTGATATTTTTTTTGTCTATTCCAAATAACCTCAAAAATGTGGTGCACACTTTTAAATAAACCGCTACACGGGTTATTTAGTGTGCACCACATTTTTGGGCTATTTCTTCATAGACAGAAAAAATATTACAGTTATTCCTTAAATAAAATATGATATTGGAATGCCTCGCGATTGTAGTCAACCTATCTATTTTACGGAATCTAATAAAACATACATGTTTATGTAATCATATGATGTCATTAAACGCACTGAATGTAGAAATTGTCATTCCATGCGATATAGTCAAACTATTGTAACTTTTGATTAAACATACGTTCATAAATCGTTAGGTAACCCGTCTTCACTACTCGTCCTGTTGGCTCTATAATAAAGTAAACATAAATATATATCGTGGTTAGCAATATTCCATGTGGTAATTGAGAATTGAAATATAACATCAATCTTATTCTACCTATTAAATGCTCTTAACAAAGTAAAGTGAGTTTTTTCAGTTTTGTACATGTTGTATACACGGTAACAAAACGATCACCAATTTGTCAGAGGTGCTGTAGAAACTAACCTTAAATATCCGAAACTTGTCAGTCGTTGCGGGCTTTGTCTTCAAATGACTAATCAGTTGTTCTCAAACAATAAAAAGCAGTTCGAATGAACAATTAATGCAAAGTTTTAGTTTTGTAACTCCGCAGTCTAGTACTAGGAAAGTACAATAAACATATAAGACTTTTTCTTACTATAATTGATAGAAAAGTTTACTGGAAAAGTATTGGTTTAAAAGTTACACTTTTAGAGTATGAAAAAGTGTTAGAATTTACTCACAACTTGCAGTTTAACTACAGCACTGCGATAGCATGGTACTGAAATCGTATAATATTTTCAAAGTACTGAAACGTTATTGCATTATATAGCTAAAATTTTCATATTACTAACATTTCTAACAAGATTCTATGGAAAATAAAACTACTCTCAGCTAATAATTTGAGTGCCTCTTATCCCCCTACACCATCAATTTTGAAACATCCCTCACATGTTAATATTTCACATCTTGTATATAACCTGAGTATGCTTTGATAGGTTTATTTGAAACATTACATAACTGTTGGTATTGGTAAAAGTAAAGTATTTTTGATTTTGAAAGTTTTCTATTTCTTAATCCAGAGTTATGTGACCTTAAGATTTAAGGTAATGTTTCCCATGTCACGCTCAAGCATACGTGGATCACCTTCAAACTTTAATCCAGTCTCCTTTACAAATCATTGTGCAGCATTATCTAAAGAATGAGTTAACTCAATTCTGATATAATAAAAACTCTAAATGTTCAGTGTTATTCTTGCAACAATTTCTATTCGCAAAGGAAGGGAATGTCTTGCGCTCCTGGTGTAGCTGTTTTTTTTTTTAAATGTGTAGCTAAAGAAGTACATGAATGTATAGTGTGTAATTATATATGGACTGTATTTCCGACTGAATGCTACATTTATGTGTTTACCGAAGAATTTGAATCATTTCAGGTTTGGTATAATCATAAGAGATATTGATCGTTTAGCACCTTAAAAATGTGTCACATTTGTAAATTATATATTTATAACATAATTTTCAAAATCATATGTCACACTTTCTAAAATGAATTAAAACTAGATGCAGTAATCAACAGAACTGATGAAAATTTTGAATGCAACCAAAGCTGAATAGAGTTTTCACGTCACATATGTATATATCATAAGAGGGTCTGGTTGGGGATTCTTTATTTCTGTATTCTTTAATTTGTAAAATTATTTTTCTATATTTTATAAATTTTGTCTGTGTTCTCTATTCTTTATATTTCAACTTCCCATTACTATTTTCTTTTGTTGTTTTTTTGTCTATTTTTCTCCGTTCTGTATTGTTTTGCCTTTTATTCTGCACATTTTGTCCATTATTCTCTATTTTGTAAACCCCATTCACACCCTCTATTAAAATTTGGGTTATTTAAATCGTCTAATATATATTTTGTATACCTGGTTTTTTTTTGTGTATATGTTTACTATGACTGGCTAACCCGGTAATTTTTTTTAGGAACGTGCAATACTTAAGGTTAATAACTTACTTTTGATACGTATTGAATTTGGCCCACAACAATCCATGTTGCTTGTTAATAAAATCCGAGGTATCAGTCGAGCGATAAAAACTGTAAACAACAATTATCATAATATTATGAAGTACATACGTTACAAATAATAGTTCAGGTGCAATATCACACAAGTATTTCAAAATAAATCATCAAACAATCCCGTGATATAGGTTTACAGATAAAATTTCATATATCACAAAAAGCATCCAAGGAAATAAAAATAAATGAAATACTAACTTAAATGGATTTTAACAGTGTTGAGATAAAATGTTGAACTCTATCGAATATATAACACACATTTTAGAAGATGTGTTGATATATATATATATATATATATTTAACTTCGTCCAGGTAAGAAATAAACTTGGGGCAACACTATTAATACTTTTAACATGTTTAAATTGTGAAAAGGAATATAGTGCAAGCAGTGAAGCGTTTCTTGGTTGATTGATTTACAGCTGTTTGCTTAAACGACCTTTGAGAATGATTTTATGCATACAAATGGAATAAAATAAAATCCTTCAAAATGGATTAAAAAATCGCGTCCTTTTATAACATAATATACAGTTTTCGGATTTTTTTTTAGGATAGCAAGATCGATGTGAACGAAGTCGACGTTAAAAAAAACATACTGCACCTCTATTCTTATTTTCCGAAAATAGAAATAGAAGGACAGCATAATATATAAACTATTTTTATGTAATCATGTTGATATCGTTTGTATATAATTAAGAGCAAACACATCAATTTGATTCAGTGAAAATTTCTTAAAGGAGTGTACAACTTTATCCTGCAATAATGCAGCCAACTATATATAGTACAAATAACGGGTACACAAATAAATGTTTGTTTTACTTGTACTTGTACCAATAAAGTCTACTGTTCAGTCTCAGCTCCCATGTTGAGCAAACGGTAATCTAATTTTGTAAAATCCCTGAAATTGTTAGGGATTTTATAAAATCTCTGAAAATATTGCTAGGGATTTTGTAAAAATCCTGATTACAAGTTTAAACTTGATATAAGAGAGATGCGTTTATCTTAATATAACTAACAATAGTGAGAAGAGGGCGTCTGACGACCATCGGTAAACACCATTCCCACACACCCTCCTGGCTATCAAAATCTTTCCCAAACCTAGACCCATATGAACACAGTAATAATGAATAAAAGGCATATGAACTGATATTAATAGTATAATTTACTTATTTTTGCATAAGTTTGAGTGACATCATGATCTACTGTTTTTTATGATTTTTTTTCACAGTCTCCACATTGAAGAACTTCATACCTACATTAAACAAATATTTACCTTTAATTTGATTTCAATCTAAAGAGTAGAAAAAGTATAGAAACTCGTTTAAAGTTTTATCACTTTGTTATAGAATAAATGTATCTGAGATATGACCAAAGTAAGTGAAGCGTATAAAAATGGTCAAGGTGGCCTATTTTTGCTTGGTAAGATACCTATTCACAGAAATGCAAGAATAATACAAAGTTTATCTGTTGTCTTTTTAGCTCACCTGGCCTAAAAGGGCCAGCTGAGATTTTCTCATCACTTGGCGTCCGTCGTCGTCGTCCGTTTACTTTTACAAAAATCTTCTCCTCTGAAACTACTGGGCAAAATAAAAACAAACTTGGCCTAAATCATTCTTAGGGTATCTAGTTTAAAATATGTATCCGATGACCCCGGCCATTAACAAAGATGGCCGCCATGGTTAACAGTTGAACATGGGGGTAAAATGCAGTTTGGCTTATATCTCTAACACTAAAGCATTTAGAGCAAATCTGACATGGGTAAAAATGTTCATCAGGTCAAAATCTATCTGCCCTGAAATTTTCAGACGCCGCATCAGACAACCCGTTGTTGGGTTGCTGGCCCTGAATTGGTAATTTTAAGGACATTTTGCAGTTTTTGGTTATTATCTTGAATATTATAATAGATAGAGATAAATTGTAAACAGCAAAAATTGTTCAGCAAAGTAAACTCTACAAATAAGTCAACTGATCAAAATTGTCAATTGATCCCTTCAGGAGTTATTGCCCTTTAAAGTCGATTTTTCACAATTTTTCGTAATTTTTTGTAATCTTTTACAAAAATCGTTCTCCACTTAATCTACTGGGCCAAATAGAATTAAACTAAGCCACAATTTTCAATAGGGTATTTTGATTGAAAAATGTATCTGATGCGTATATGCATGACCCTGTCATCCAACCAACATGGCCGTCATGGCTAAAAATAGAACATAAGGGTTTACTAAAGAGGTCTATGGGAAAATTGTAAAAAAAACAATTTCAAATGGTCACAACTTGAAAACTAATTTAAATAATGATAAGGGGTCTTCAGTAACTATTGTAAGACTACAATGGGATGACCTGCTTTAAATTTAACTACTGGGCAGAATTAAACCAAACTTGTACTCAATCATTAAAAGGGTATCTAATACTATTTATTATGATTTTAACCTTATTTTACATGATTTCCAAAACCACATTAGATACAGGTGGGCGACACAGTCTCTTGAGAGCCTCTAGTTTATTAATATTAGTATTAATTGGTGGGTATTAATGTCGGCTGCAAACTATTTATACAACACTTATTGCCTTTTATTTATCAATGTCCATGTCAAAATAATATACACATGTACATGTAATATTTGCCACTGGATAACATAGCCTAAACCAATCAATTTCTTACTCTTTTAATATGTGTTTTTCTCTTCTTATGATGGCAATCACTCCAAGTGCTGTTTTTATATTTGATTATAAAATTTGATATGATTGGTTTTAAACTTTTCAGGAACTACAGAAGCACTATTTATAAAAAAACAAAAACTTTCACTCTTTCTTTTAAAGAACTTTTTAATATAAAAAGAATCAAATTATTGTTCAAATTCCCTGAATTTAATCAGGAAATCTGTAAAAAGGATCTTAATTATTTCAGTGATTTTGTAAAATCCTTAATCAAAATCAAGGATTTGGTAAAATCACTAATCAGTTCAGTGATTAAACAAAATCCCTGATTTTACAAATTCAATGTAATATATATATATATATACATATATATATATTTATATACATGTATTGCAAGAGGGCATCGTAAATAAATTGTATACCCTTTTACGAGGTCGAGATGAATTGTGAAGAGTGTTTGTAAATAGATATAAGAAGATGTGGTATGAGTGCCAATGAGACAACTCTCCATCGTAAGTCGGTTAATAAATCTGAAGGGAACACGTTATAAATATCATTTTACAAGGCAACATTAATCTATCAATGAAAACAAAATTAATTTTTTAAAAAGATAAATCATTTATTCAAATTACCGTGTGTACTTAATCATATAAAACGGAGATCAATATGTAAAATTTTCAAGAAATGAACGATGACTGCTTCAGGCTTTGGCTAAGGGCATTTTTTTTTTTAAATTCTAGTCCCTTGTTTCCCTTTTTCTTCAAATTCATAATTAAAAACTTTCCCTTAGCGCTTAGTAAAAATCAACAAAATAACAATATTAAACATGATGCATATTAAGATCAAATGAATATTATTGATAATACTAGTAATAATTTTTTCCCTCTCCTCCTAAAAGATGGCTTAAAATCTAAAATCAATCTTACACATTATACCTTACAGTCTGTAATATTTCAACGAATCGCCTGCTCAGGGATTTATTCTTATTTGGTGGCCTTCGGCTGTTATCTGCTCTTTGGTCGGGTTGTTGTCTCTTTGAAATATTCCCCATTTCCATTCTCAATTTTATACTATAATTGTTTTAATTTTGATTTTATGTTTGTTTTTGTATGGGGTGTCGTTTGCAAGTTTAAATAGTTATTTGGGATCTCCCGTTCCATAAGTTATTAATTTTGACAAAGTTTACTGAGCAAGTCGGGGAACAGGTTACATTAATTGTCAATCTAAACACAACACAAAATATCATTTTATTGTGTTTAGAATCAGTATATATGCAGGTAATACATTTGACTTGATATGGATAAATAAAGCTCTTAGTGGATCATACATATAATCATCATGACAAAAATAAAAAAAAAAAAAAAAAAAACAAAGAGTGCACACGCTGAAATGTCTCGCCTTCTTTACTAACCATTGATTTTATATATGTTGATAGTCCTAAATGTAAAGCGTTACTACAACTATCACATAAACTTAACATGATCCAAGAAAATGAGGTCAAGGTCAGATAAACAAAACTGGAAATACGTGTACACCTTACAATTATTCCATACACCACCAAATATACTTAAAATGTAGTTGACCTATTGCACATCTAAGAAACAAACTTAACCAGGAAAACTTAACATTGATCAATGAACCATGAATATGAGTTCAAGGTCAGATGAACCCTGTCAGACAGACATGAACACCTTACAAGCATTACATGCTTTAAATTTAGTTGACCTATTGCATATAGTATATAAGAAACAAACTTAACCAGGAAAACTTAAGTTTGATCAATCAACCATGAAAATTAAGTCATGGTCAGATGATAATTGCCAGACAGACATATACACCTTACAATAATTCCATACACCAAATATAGTTGACCTATTGCTTATAGTATTAGAAAAAAAAAACAGACCAAACAACAAAATCTTAACATTGAGCAATGAACCGTACAAATGAGGTCAAGGTCAAATAAAACATGCCAGACTGACATGTATATTGTAAAATATTTTCATACACCAAATATAGTTGACCTATGGCATACAGTATTAGAAAAACAGACCAAAACACAAAAACTTAACTTTAACCACTGAACCATGAAAATGATGTCAAGGTCAGATGACACCTGTCAGTTGGATATGTACACCTTTTACAATCATTGCATACACCAAATATAGTAGACCTACTGCTTATAGTGTCTGAGATTGGACATGACCACGAAAACTTAACTTTGTTCACTGATCCTTGAAATGAGGTCGAGGTCAAGTGAAAACTACCTGACAGGCATGAGGACCTTGCAAGGAACGCACATACGAAATATAGTTATCCTATTACTCATAATAAGAGAGAAATTAGCAATACTAAAAACATTTTTTTTTTCAAGAAATCGCTGAACCATTAAAATGAGGTCAAGGACAATGGACAGATGACAGAGTCTGACGGAAACTTCATAACATAAGATATCTGTATACAAATTATGAAAGATCCAGGTGTTCTACCTTCCGAAATATCAAGATTTTAAGAAGTTTGTTAACGCCGCCGCCGCCGAATCACTATTCCTGTGTCGAGCTGTATGCGACAGAAGTCTCAGGCTCGACAAAAACCCGACCAAAACACAAAAAAACAGTAAACAAAACACAACATAGAAAGCTAAAGTCTGAGCAACACGAAACCCACAAAAAACCGAGGGTGATCTCAGGTGCTCCGGAAGGGAAACGGTAGATCCTGCTCAATTAGTGGCCCCCTACACCATAATTTATGGTTTATTACCTTGAATAAACAGGGCCCGTTTTTGTAATGAGTAAATGGTCCGCTTTCAAAAGCTTCCAATTGTTTCATTTTCTCATTTGGGCAAGTTTTACGATTATAAAATTTACATGACAATGGTTTAAGAATTTTTTAATGTCTTACGGTTAGATAAAAATAAATTACCAATACGCTATTGCACGATGCGTAATCACTTTATACAACCTGTCAACATATTTCATAGCAGTAACACGACGGTTGGAGCAGGATCTACTCCCCCTTCCAGAGCACATGGGATAATCACCTTTTTGGTTTTTTGTGTTACTTAATCTCTAGTTTTCTATGCAGTGATTTATTGTGATTTAGTTTTTTGCCATGGTGTTGTCAATTTCTTTTTCCAACTGTCTTGGTATCATCCGCCTTTTTTTATCCAGTAAGACTGGTCAAAGAAGAGAGACGTATTGTTGTGTTGCTTTTGTAGTATTTACTCTTCTTTGGTTATGCTCATGTAACGTTGAATGGGTCTTTAGACATACAATTTAAACTTTTCATATTTGACATGCATGTATATGTCTTGTACCACTGCAATTTACCTTTGACCTTTCAAACCCAACTCAAGGTCAAAAAATCAATTTTTGGGGTACATTTCAATTTTTTCACACTAAAACATCAAATATTTCTTTCTTTTTATGGAAATACGTATCTAGTGCACCTTAGGGTAGTCCAAGAGGTGTCATTCCCCTCTCATATAATTAATTGTGATATATATAGAAAAACCGTTCAGATCCCCTTCCCAAACTCCTTAATTGCTGTTACAAGTCTTTTCTTGGGCACTATCGGTTTTGTCTTTTTCTCTTATTGTAAAATTGTTTTCTACTACTCAAAAACTGTACAGATATTTATCTTCTCCTAAACCTTCGCTATTGGGAAAAAGACAAAAAAAAAATATAATTTAACTTTTGATTTAGAAGGCAAACAAATTTCATGTGATGAAGATGTTAAACACCTTGGTGTAACGATAGACTTTGAACTAAATTTTGATAAACATATCTCACAAATTTGTAAAAAAGCTTCAAGACAACTTAACATTCTTAAACGTATTGGCACATATTTAAACAGGTTGGGACGTCTAACAGCTAACTACTCTTTCATTCTTTCAAATTTTAATTATTGTCCAGTAATTTGGCATTTCTGTAGTGAAAAAAATACACAAAAAAAATTGAAAAAATTCAGGAAAGAGCTCTCCGCTTCATATATGAGGACTATATAAGCAGCATCGAACATTTACTTTTGACTTCTAAACTTCCATCTTTAACAATTCGCAGACTTAGAACTATTGGAATTGAAACGTTAAAAATTGTACACAAGAAAAGTCAGAGTTATCTTCATAACTTAATAAATATCAAAACTCAACGTTATAATTTTAGATCCAAGGATACAGCTGATATACCGAGAGTATGGGCTAAAATCATTCCGTTTTAGTGCTGCACAATTATGGAGTGAGCTGCCAAACCACATAAGACAGGAAAATTCTCTAATTCAATTTTCCATTTTAATACAGACTTAGAATGGCAGCTCATGCCAATGTAATGCATGCAATTAGTGCTTTGTGATTTGAGCTTAGTTTGGCTTTTTTGCTGCTTTTATGCTAAATTAGTTTGCTTTGATTTTATAATTTATCTGCATGAACAGTATTATTCTATTTTGCTTATGTGCTTGAATGCTTGCTGTTTTATGTCTTATTGTATATGTATGTATGTTAGTCTTAATATTATGTGTTTGTTCGCATGTTATTTTGTTTGTGTGTAATGTATTACTAGTATAATGTCGACTTTAAAAGCTCACTAGAGCTTGTGTTACTTTGTTTGCAATGTATGCTTTTGTTGATGAGGGTAAAGGGGCTCCAGTCATGCCATGCCACCTTCAAATTATATGCTCACATCCCTACCCCTAAGTCATATATTTATTCCTTACCATATTGGGAAGGCCTTTAGATTGTTCTAATGAATAATATACACATCTTCCATTCATACCATAAACTTTTTTTTAACAATTTAACCTTTTAACCATAAAGCATGAGATTGACTGACTGGTTGTTACTGATTAATGTCCAGTGGCAAATATTTCATGTATTTATTTCAGTGCATGGGTTTTGCTCAACGTTGAAGGCTGTTTGGTGATCTATTGTAGCTAATATTTACATTTTTATGTCTCTTGTGGATAGTTGTTCCATTGATAATCATACCACATCATTGTTATATTAAATGAAGAGCTACATTACCATTGACATATAGTACGGATAGAAGGATTTCTATTAATATAAAAATAAGGAGATATATGTGGTATGATTGCCAATGAGACAACTATCCACCAAATTTCAAATGAAGTGGGTGTAAACAATTACAGGCAACTGTACAGCCTTCAACAATGAGAAAAACCCATACCTATTGGTTGGCTATAAAAGGCCCCGACATGAAAAATATGAAACAATTCAATTGAGAAAACTAATGGCCTTATTTACAACACAACAATTTACGAAAAACAGATATGACAGACATGAACCAACGAAAACCACTGAACAACAGGCTCCTGACTTGGGACAGGCACATAAAGAATGTGGTGTGGTTGAACATGATTGTGAGTGCTCATAGCCTGTGTTTTCACCTTCTTTTGGGTTTTTATGTAAATGGACTGCTGTCTTATATTGACATACCCCACATTTCCTTTTATTCAGAGGAAGCTTTTGAAGAGCTGGTAAATGGGTTCCTTTTCCTTTTTGTTAAGTGAAGCGTGTGAAGGTATTTTGTGTCACCAATGACTACCAATTTTAATCCCTCCTTTTACAGTAAGTGGCAGTTTAGTTATAATTCAGAATATCAGCCATGGATTGAATACTCTTTCTTTTGATAAACATGATAAATATTCAGCATATAATTTTAATAAAATGTCATCATGGTCATCGAGATTGTCTTTAAAATCAATCAACTCATCACAACATAACATATAAAATATTATAAACAGTCAGAATCTCTAACATCTATTTATACACATTCATCAACAGACATCTTGTTCTATAGTCAGTCAAAATTATTGAGCTTCCACATGTCCATCTTTAGCTACATGTAAATGAGCCATTTTGTTTCACAATACATTTAGTTGTCAACTTTTCAAAAATCCTGCATTGAATTTTCAAAGAAAAAAATTCAGTCCCTCCATTGATGTGAACAGGACATGTTACAACACTTGTAGAATGTAGTCATTGGTTCGTCAGCTGATCTTGTCTGTATCTGCATGAAGAATGCTCTCTTGTGTTCACATTTTGGACATGTTACTGAAAATATAAATAGAATCATTCTGAAGATCCTTCTGCGGAGAACAGTGGTGGATTGAAAGAGGGCCTTATGGAGCTAAATATATGGTAAATGCATAGACTTTTTATATGTCCCACTCTGAACGTTGTCTAGATTCGGGACCCCCTTTTTTAAAGTCATGTATCTGCATCTGGAGACAACAAAAAAATTGTATACTTGATTTCATGTGAAAAAGGTTTTCCTTTGTAGTTCACTACAAACTTTTGTTACCTGCACTCAAGATAAAAATCAAAGATTGCCTTCATAAATGTTGATAACATGAGAGATTTATAAAAGAAAAAGATTGGTATTTGTATTTTCTTTATAAATGTTTCGCATGTTTCAAGATTCAAATGAGTTATTCAAACAATTAGTAGAGGCAGAAAAGTTCAGAATATTCAGATCTATCTACTGTCTACACAAAAAAATGCAAGATGAAAATTTAAATTACCAAAAATGGTTTAAATCATTGGTCAGCTCCTTATCATGCTTTATAGGAGTTATGGTCCCTAAATGACTTTTTTACCATTTCTCTTGCATTTTGCTTATTATTTTGAAAACTAAAAAAGAAAGACTTGAAAAAGTAAAAATATCTTCAGGACAAGATCTGAAAATTTGTCAACATGACACAAAATCAACAGTTGACTCCTAATTGAAGTTATCTCCCTTTAATGATTATTTTTACCCATTTTTGCCGAAAACTGTACATGCTGTAGTAGATAAAGAAAAATTTTAAATGGCAAAAATAATCAGCGAGACTTCGTTGAAATGCACATCTGGGTGCAGAAAAATTGTTACTGTTAGTGTAAAGGCAAGATCTGCAAATATATCAAACGTTGGCAAAATTGTCAGTTGATTCCTTATAAGATTTATTGCCCATTAATAATATTTTTACCCAATTTTGCCATTTTATGCAAAACTGTAACAGATAAAGACAAACTAACAGCAAAAACGAGTAGCAAGACATAAGATCTATACATGAGTCAAAATGCTAAAAAAGTCGTTTGACTCCTTATATGATGTTGACTTTTGGTCAACAAAGGCGGAATTCTAAGTCTACTTTTATAAAAATTATTACCACTGAATGGCAATTTATACCCATTTTTGTAAAATTTTGGGCAAAAACTATTGTAGAAAATGACAAACTGAATACAGAAAAAATTTATCAGCAAGACGGAGAAGACAAGATCAACATAAATCAGATCTCAGTCATCACGGTCGTGCATACACCTTATCGCTATTTGCCCACCATTACTGGACATCACAAAGGTAATTGCGGTAAAATTTTGACTTCACAATAGAAAATATCTGACGCCACCATGGAAAATGATTGTTGTATGACGTCACACAGATCCAGTTGAGACATACAGGCTCTTAACAACCTCTAGATCATTTTGCCTTATCACTCATTTTATACTAATTCAATAGACCGCTTTCCAGTTATGTTCTTCACCGGAAAAGTTTGTCAATTAAGGTCACCTTTACGACATCATTTACCAGATAGAGGGGATCGCCTGTATCCCTGCACTATTAAAGTTCATCAAGTGTCTAAGTGATCGGCATTATGCAGGATAAGCTAGAAATAATATTTGTTCTGTAAGTACTCAATCACATTTCCCCAATGACAGCAGTGCTGATTATCAATTATAAGAATTTAATTTGCTGAATAATTCGTGCAATATACATATAGCATCATATTTTTTCCACTGCTCGCTCAACATGAGAAGGAAGTGACAATGCCCCTAAACACATGAATGATGTTCACTAAAACCATAGTTTTTGAGGAAATGCAACGCACTCGAAAGTGGTCTATTACACTGATCTGATCACCCGTTAAACAACCTACCATCTGTAGAATCCACATTTTCCCAGGCTGACGATCCACCTAATACATCATCTACTTCTTTTAATTTTGGATATTTTCTATTTCCTATCTAAAATATATAGAAGTAAACAAGGTAAATTTAAATGTATAGGTGACCAATTAAAATACATATGAAATAAACTAGTTATATTCGGTATGTGTCTGTCTAAAATGAGGAGACTGTAATTCAGTAGTTGTTGTTTATTACTCTCTAGTCATAATTTTTTTTTCCATTTTATATTGTTTTAGCATAAATCAGTTTTCTCGTTTAAATTGTTAAATTCATTATGTCATGTCATGGCCTTTTAGAGCTTACTATTAAGGAATTGGTTTTGCTCATTGTTGAAGGACTTACAGTGACCTATAGTTGCTTACATATGGCAGATTCCATATAAGAAAGTGAAACAACTCCCATAAGCACGTTAGGCAAAAATCATAAGCAATGAACTTCTGTTTTTGAATACATGCTTTACTAATAAAGATAAAGACAATTTGACCAAAAAAAAAATTATGAGCATCATCCTTTTTAAATAAACGAAGCCTTAAATATTATGTTTCTGACATAAGATTTGACAGACTTTATTGTTTCTGACATAAGATTTGACAGACATTATTTTTTCTGACATAAGATTTGACAGACTTTATTATTTCATGTATTTCTGACATAAGATTTGACAGACTTTATTCTTTCTGACATAAGATTTGACAGACTTTATTATTTCTGACATAAGATTTGACAGACAAATTGAGTTTCTGACATAAGATTTTGACAGACTTGATTCTGACATAAGATTTTTCATACATAAGATATTTTGACAGACAATATATATTTGTTTTTTTTTACTGACATTGGAAATCAAATCCTAGTTGAAAGTCATTTTTAAAACTCCTGGAAAATACTGCAGCCTAACATCTAACAAGATTTCACTACAGGTCAAAGAACTTTAACTGTTAGCACATTCAAATGTTTCAGACATAAGAAAACAAGTTTGACAGATCTTATGTAGGAAACATATAAGTTAAAACTATTGCTTGAATAAAGTTAAATGAAAGAATCAACATGTGTTTTTTCTTATGAACAGCATGACTTACAGTTTTAACTGGCATATATTGGAACCTACAATGATTTTGAAAGTTTTTACAGCGATGTTCCTGACATAAGATTTATTGACAGACACTGAGCTATAAAGCAAGATATTTGAAAGTGAAAAAATATATATATCACAGATGTTTTTGACTAAAAAAAGTAACAAATTTGGGAACAGGGATGTTTGAATAACCAGACTACACTAGTAAATACCAGTATACAAGTGTCAATATAAAGTATTGCAACACATAAACATTGTGTAAAAAAATGGGAGTTAATTCTGTCAAAATTTTTGCATTTTTTCAACTTGTTTTAATCATTTCTACTTTAAACCGAAACAATCATATCCAAAACTTATTTTAATAATTTCTTCTAACATCATTATTCCTCAAAACATTCACAGATTATCTTTAAAATAACAGTAATTATTATTTTCATTTATTTATTCATTTTGACAGACATTTCAATTTCTTATATGGAATCTGCCATATACTTCATTTCGTCGCTGGTGAATAGTAGTCTCATTGGCAATTATACCATATCTTCTTATTTTATTATCAATGAGAGAGCAACCCAACATAGAGCACTTATTGTAATTAAATACAATCCAAAGATATCAAATTTAAAGATATTTGTACGACTTTGCCCCCAGCAGCTAGAGCTATAGAAAAACAGTACATTAACGGGTGTTACACGGACACTTTTTAGATGATACACGGACACTTTTTAGTTGTTACACGGACACTTTTTGTGAATAGAATCACTCGTGCATGATCAGTGAGTTCATGGGCACTTTAAATTTCAATTAGATTTGAACTTTTTGTTTCACCGACATATTTCTTGTCTTTTTCATTAAAATATTTACGTTGGCAAAAATAACTATATTTTTTTCAAACAATTCCAGTATATTACTATTCATATCAGTACACTAAGGGATTGACCATTTAACTTCAAAAGTGGAGTTATGTTTTTTCCTAAAAAAATATTCTGATCCCCAATTTTATGAGAAAAAAATATATTGTGGTCAATCAGATGACAAAATAATGTTCTGATTCCTGATTTTCCGAATACCGTATATAAAAGTGCTAATTTCGAAAAAAAAATATTTGGGTGATAGCGTTGATTAACTAAATCATTTTCTTACTCAGAAAAAAAACATACCCCCTTTTGAAGCTAAATGGTCGGTCCGTAAATGTATTTTTTTTTTCAATATATGGACATGAATAGTATTCTGGACAATGCTGAAAGTAAAGAAATGCTGGTACCGACATTTATATTTCAATAAAAAAGACAGGAAATATATATAAAAAAGATCAAATCTAATCAAAAGATAAAATCCCTATCAACTCACCAATGCACGATTGATCCTATAAATAAAAAGTGTCCGTGTTCAAATAGGCAGCAAATCCTGAAGAAAATCATTCAACTTATGTCACCAATTTTGGACGGTAAGCTGCGATTGGATCATATTGTGACACGTGTTTGATCCTGACCAACACTATAAGAGACATATATAAAAACCTATAAGCATAATTTAAAAAAAAAAATCCAAAATATATACCTATATATGGGTGATTTTAACAAGACAAAATCGATATTTTCATACCATTTCATTCACTAATGAAATAGGAAATTCATTCTTTTTACATTGTTATTGAATTTATATATTTGGGAGCAAACGTACGATTTTTATTATTTTTTAAGGCGGAATGGGGGAATGGAATGACACATCCTGCATGATTTCAACAAAAAAGAATCAAGCCTGTTTATTTTAAATTTACCCCCCCCCCCCCCCACACTTTTCCGTGTTCCCCCAAATAAAAATCAAATGTTAGCTTGCTTACCTCTGAAATCTTTTTCATACATTACTTACTTGCGAAGATGCATTTTTAAAAGTCTCAAATGTGTACGAAATTCATCTTTTACTTGACATGGTTCTTTTTTATGAAATTAATAGATTCTTGATTTTCTTTAGAAAAAAACTTTAGACTGAAGTGAAGTAAAAAAAAGTTTGTTTAAACTGTCTTACTGTAACTTACATTAACTGGTATATGGCCATTTAAGTTTCGAATCTGTTAAATTTTGATACCTCTTCTACATGCCGTTGAAAATGTACTACTTCTTTCTTGAAACGTCGTACAAGTCAGATACAAAACAAAGGTAACAAAGAAACAGGCCGGAAACAACCTGCCGAATAGTTTTTCTGCACTCGTAGTCAGGTCAAGGTCCTTGGCTATCGCCTCGGACCTTCACCTGACTACTCGTGCAGAAAAACTATCCGGCAACGGTTGTTACCGGCCTGTTTCTTTGTTACCTTTGTATTGTATCTAATACGTACCGGTAGAGAATGGTAGATTTTTTCAATTCATATCATAACTCTTTACTTGTTTTAATGATAATAAAATTCTAAACAAGCCTTAATCAAATAAATAACAATTAATTTCACACAGAGCATTGTCTACCGGCTCCCAAAAAAACTTAGGGACGACCATTTGATATTCTGGGGGGGGGGGGGGGGGGGGGGGGGTCCAGGAGGATTTATTTTGGATCGGTTATTTATTTTTGTAAACTAATATAAGAGGACAGATTATCTTTTTTCTGCACTATTGAAGCAAGATTTTTCATTTTCATTAAAGCAAGGGACTGATTATTTATTTTCACAACTATATTTATAATATTCGAAAACATACAATTTTTATTATAAATAATTCATGTACATGATGTATTGTCAAGTCATTATGTACCATTTAATCAGAATTAATTATTATCCTCTGTAGAAATGAATCTTCTATATCCCCCAATGTATATACATGTATTGCATACATACACAGTATTAAAGTTTGGTTGTAACTAAGGCTCTTTTAAAAGTATTGGCAAACATGTTTCGCCGAGCGGAGCGAGGCAAAATTTTTTTTGAAGGGTTTTTGAACCGCTGAAGGCCCAAGAAGCTATAGAACAAATGATGCAAAATCATGCCTTCTGGGTGTTCCCCAGACCCTTTCTTAAACTGAAAATGCAAGTTCTGTTTTAATAATTTTATGACAATATTTTGGTCTCAAAGCAAAATCACGTTATAGATTCAGTGTAAGACTTAAGTTTCTAGGAACAACATCAAAAGACAAATATGCATGATAAAGCAAAAATGTAATTCACATAGTTAAGTCTGTGGCTGCTGTGTTTTTTTAAACTCATAATCAAGTTAATAATAAAATTACTAAATTACAAAATGAATGCAACACTAACAGAATGCAGAAGGGCAATCAATGAACAAAAGACAAATAAATAAGAAACATTGATCCCCAAAAATCAGGGGCTACGTCTGAGGGAGAACAGAACTTGCTTCTTACAAGGCACTCACGGTGAACACAATTTGATATGGAGACAAGCGTTTGGTTTTGAAATTTCCTACATGAGGCATTTGTCTCAATGCAGTTACGGCCCTGATTTAATAAAAGTGAGGTAAGTGTTCCTGAAACAATTAACCTCAAGTTAAATGAAACCAATTTTCTGACATTTCAAGTATATTTAAATAATATTTATACTTTTATTACTAAAAGATATGGGAAGTGTTTCCCGATTTTTTTTTTGGAAAAAAGATGAATTTATGAAGAATCTGGTGCCATCTCATACTTTGGATTAGACCTGCTGAGTTATTTATTTTCAATACATTGCAAGTCAGGTAATTTATTTTCAAACTACCACAGAACAAACCATTTATTTTTGTGATTATCAAGGCTGAGTTATTTATTTTCAAAATCCTCCTGGCCCCCCCCCCCAGAATATCAAATGGTCGTCCCCTTACTTCACAAAAGTCAACAAATCTCAATCATGTCAATGAAAACAATTAATTAATCTTGATTTATGAATTTCAAAATTAACATGATTAAACTTTAATGTTATGCAAAAATAAATTTAATTCCAGTCATGCCAGTCAAAAAGTTACCTTTTTCACCAACGAGGGTCTGGACATGCTGGATGGGGTC